CATCTTTTTTTATGTGTTTATAAATAACATCACTCAGTCGGTGGTTTATTTGAAGCTCGGAATCCATACATTATTTTTGTACTTTTGCTGCTGAATAATTGTTGATAAATAATGCTGTTTTGGAAAATGGTCTACATCATATTACTCAAATTTTTAAATAACCTGAACTAAAATTTTTAAATCTGTATAATATTGCTTGTAACTGGGCCTATGAACATAAGTAAGCCACCTTTTTTACTATTAAATATTTAGGCAGCTTTTACTCTCTCCACACATGTCATAACGTAATCGTGAATAGGATATTTCACCATATGTGGTGCAGATACCATCTGTAGACGAATGAGAATTGCTACTTGCTCAACGGAACTCGGTTATCTGCCCAGTATGCCACGGCTGTCATAAATGTTAATAGCATCACAGCTAACAGATTATACGCGGGGCACAGTTCTCGTTATGGAATGATTTGGAGCGTGGCACACCACACTGCGTGTTGGATGCCTTTTACAAGTCTACATAATTTCGCTCTCAGGTGCTCCACGTTTTTCGTATTGATGTATGTACACTTAAGTCATTGCTGGCAGAACTTGTACTTAATTTGATGAACTCAACTAAACCCACAGTATCGAAATTATGCTATTAGATCTATTTGATATGATTTCTAATATTTACATCCTCACGTTGTTTTAGACAGGAATCTGCTTCCGCTAAAAAAGGTTATTAGGATAATGAGATGTTGGTGTTTGAAATGAACATCATAGAAACACTATTCAGCGCAAAGTATTTCAATTATCTTTTCAATTGCTGCAGTGATTTGAATTCAGGTAACTAAGCTTTAATATATTACATGTAAAACTGATTGTCCAGGCACTGTAGGTATGTTGCATTGAATATTCTCCAAGAAAGATATTATTTAAGCCGTGGAGCCAATCGATGGCCAACATGATGCGGCTAAATAAATACATTTACAATACGGCTTCTTAAATACATTTTTATAAAACTTGTCAGCAAGTTTGAGACCGCTTAGGTAAAAGGAGGGTATATGATACGGAGCTATCCGATGCCAAGGTTGTCGGTGATATCCGCTTACAAAGACTTGCTCACAGAAAACTGAACACATAAATTATTAATATTAACGACAATTTTATATTATATAATTATTTCACTGGCAAACAGTAATGTCGAGAAAGGTAAAGAGAAAGTCTATCTCGTTAAATTAATAAAAGCATTGTTTGGTTAAAACTAAATAAAGTCTTAAATAGTTCTCTAATAAGGCACCAAGACAGTCCATATTAAATATTAGAAATGCGAAAGTAACTCTGTCTGTCTGTCTCACTTTCACGCCAAAACTACCGAACCGATTTAAATGAAATTTGGGACACAGATAGTTTGGAACCTGAGAAAGGAAATAGGCTATTTTTAATTGGATTTTTTTTAAGAAAGATATTTATTTAAGGCCTAAAACGCGAGCGAAGCCGCGGGCGAAAACCTAGTCAAAAGGGCATAGTTCACCACGCGGCCCCAGTGCGGATTGGCTATTTGGATTTTTTTTTAATCATTATTTCGAAAATATGCAGGTTTTCTCACGATGTTTTCCTTCACCGCCGAGCACGTGATAATTCAGCACTTAACATGAACAATTTCATTGGTGCTGGCGCCGGGGATCGAACTCAGTTTGCTCGAGTATATTGAATTAAAGGCAAGCGCCCGGACACTGAGCTATCACGGCTTAACTAAATTAAACAAACAGTTAAAGTCTGGTCCTATCGTTTCCATCGTTATATTTATCCTCCGTTCAATTTATCCTCCGTGTTTCATGTTGACCCACGAGAAAGGAACTCTGGAAAGAAGACGTGATCTTATACATGTACATATACAGGGAGGCTTTTCTAAGTGTATCCATTTTTTTAATTAAATTCTAGACATTAATAATGTTATATAAAAAATGATAAATAATTAAAATCACTCGTAAGTAATTAATTATATTCATTTGAACTTATCTCAAAAAGAGCGTGATTTATACGCAACTCATTTATTTTACGCGCGATCATTCATAATTTACACGGACACAAGTTCGTTTGTGTGCGTGAACAGTAAAATTTAGGAATTTATGAATGACTACCGCGTAGTCAACAAGTTCTGTTTTTATGTAATTTTTTGAAAAAAAAAAAAAAAAAAAAACGTTTTTTTTTTTTCTTCAATAAACAATTATACTACCGAGTCTGAACTTCCTGTGTAAATTTAGGCACCTTTAAAAAAGTCTCCCTGTATATGCGGTAACACTACATTAAAGGTATGTTAATAATATAATTATTTTTAGATAAAATGAATGACAACGTATGCAACCATATTTGATGATAAACTTTCGTAGATTCACCGAATAAACTCATTTAATGCAATACCCTGATTTGTAGTTTTGCCTATGCTGCATAATAATGGATAAAAATAATCTTTTTGTGGGCACCCCGTAATAACGAAATTAAAAACAACTACAAGCAGACCGAGAGTGAACGAACTGACTTGAATCAAATTGAAGAAACAATCTGACTTGAATAAACAATCAAATTTAAGATTTTTTTAATACTACATATACATAACTATTTATGTTCAAAACATGGAGTTCTTAATAATTTTGCTTTTTCAAATGCGAAACGAATATTCAACGTGAAATCTACGACATTGAAATGTTTATGATGCCATAAAATTACCAACACATGACATAAACTGTTCGCACATAATCTGACTGCCATCGCTAGTTAGTCATAAGCACAAAAGAAAACTCAGTCCCAGTTCAGAGCATGATGGTGCAATAAAACTTTAAATACGTAACGAAGTGCATCCGAGGCTAACTGAAGGCATAAATCTCGCTCGGTCAAAGGAAGCCAAGCATTAACATCGTGGCCAATGTCTTCCCCGGTCCAATCGCGATAGCGTCGCTGCCTGGACTGGCTTTAACAAATTAACCTGCGATAAGGTGTGCACCAGTATTCAGAGGTATTGTAATCCATTGCGCACTTCCTGGTGAAATAAAACATATGTTGTAGCGAAAGTATACCGACCAACACACGTCTGATACTATTACAATAATAAGTTATTTATTTATTTAAAAGTTTATTGTTTACACCTCAACTTAAGCCCAAACAAAAGGCAAACTTAATCCTAATGAGCATTCTCTTCCAGTGGACTATAATATATATGACGTGTTAAAATAAAATGTAATATCCCTTAAAACTGCAACTCTTCATCTGTACAATATCAGTACAGTAACGGAATCCAACTAAATATCTACTTTATGTGTGTGATCTTTACGTGTAAAAAAATACATCGTTACATTTACAGTCAATTGCAGATGTCTGTAAATGAACTGTGCTAGGGCCAAGCAACACTCTGCTCTGTTGCAGGAATGGGCAGGTCCGCGCCGGGGCTCACTTTATTAAAGGTGGCAATGCATCTGCAACCCTACGGGTGTTGCAAATGTCAATCTTGGCATCTTCCAACATAAATTATATCCAATGTCACATTGGAGTCGATGAAAATCGTAATAATTATTAGGAAGAGTGCCCGCATCTCTACCACGCTTGTCCCGTGGAACCTCATCGAGCGCATCCAAAATGAGACCACTCAGAACATCAGGCCCTTTTGGACCTGCCTTACACCACGGGCCGGCCCAGTGTGGGTTCCTCTTGGCTTCGCCGTGGGTGACAAAGCCACGGCTACTAAGCCCCTCCTCACGCGGGAACATGGTTGGTGGGGTTTATTTGTGCACCTATCTCAACTTCTCTGTACGACCCGTTAGCTTGACTGACAGAAAATGCCTTTATCGTTCAGTCGACCTATAAAGATTTTTTGTGCATAAAATTTTCAATAAACTACCTTTCTCTGACTAAACCCATGGTTATTATAAGAACTAACGAACCCTGAGTTCAAATGACTTGAATAGCTTAAGTTGACCGAGATTACTAGTGACATACACTTTTATATGGCAGATGATATTTAAGCTGATCATGAAGAACAAACCTAAGAAAGTCCAGTTCATTGTTTACAAACAATTTTTGTCACTAATTTACCACGCCTTTCTCGTTGCTTTTAAACAAATTCAATTACATAATCCTTTAATGTAGAGATCACAACGCTGGTGAAATTTTATACCCATCAAGGGCTCTTTATTTTCATGCAAATGACACTACCTGTGAAAATTTGTTCAGCCTTAAACAAAATGGTGTAATTTATGTTAAAGCCAATATCAACACTGGAATTGTCCATTCACAAGTTCCGTAATGTATTCACGCCGCGCCGGGGACGCACTGTAAACAATTTTATAAAATATCGGCTCAACTTATGTACTTATGCGGCGGCGTCATCGAAGACGACGTTATTGGGACTTCACAAATCCTTTCACAAAGTGGTATATTTTTTTATAAAAAATGTATAATTTAAAAAGTTACAATTTATTTCAAATAAGAAATATTCACGATGTAATTTGCGCTTCATAAATAAATTAAATGGTAGCGTTTTCACAATCAAAAGATATTTTGAATATATTCCAACATTAATTAAGCACTATGAGACGAGTATCTACTACAGTAAGAAAAAAGAAAGAAGGAAACGTTTATGGCACCAGTACGCTACAGTACAAGGACAGGAGGAAAGAACAGTTGGAACGTCTTAAGTATGCATATTTAAACTGCAAGTCAAACCATCATTCATTCGTGTCTGCCCGTTTTCATTTCAATGAAAGTCACTTTTAAAGAGGTTATTACACAAGCTATTTTGAATTTTAATTGATTGTCTCTTCCTGCACTCAAACGCACATGTTTTCCATGCTTGCCAGCTTCTAAGCTCATTTCCTGTAAAGCATAAAAATTGTTAAAGCAAACATCTAGTACAAAACAGGGAACATTTCCTTAGAAAAGGTGAAAGGAAACAAGAAAGAACAGGAAGGCTCCTTTCGTCTCATCCGATTCACAAAAGGCGGCATAACTTAGCGTACTAGGAAAACGCTAGTAACGACCGCCCGTGAATTGCGCCGCGGTCGCTCGAGTAAACAATCGATTGTAACGGAGGATTTCTTCTAACCGCAGTTGGACGCGGGCGGCGCGCTGTTTGCTTTGCGCGACGTCCCAAACACACCATGATCGGTTCCAGCCGGAGCCGGCGGCGACTAGACCGAAATAGATCGGGGAGATTGATCGCTCCCATTGAACTTGGAGGTTGTGTTGAACACCCGACTGTAACGGGAGCCGTTTCCTATTGAACGTAGCAAATTAACCGTGGACCGGACGGCATCGCCTCTGTTCGATGCACCGGCTTCCGGAGTACTTGTGAATGGCACACATGTCTCTTATTATGCCCGGTTCCTATATTCAACGAACGGGCGCTATACATAGCTTCGTAACTTTCATGACGACTTGTAGATAAAAGGCGCGTACGCCCGGTTCCTATATTAACAAAACGAGGCGTTTTCCTTACGAGCCGTTGCATTACCTACGGAAAGTTAGTTACTAGCGTTCCTTTAATGTACTAGTCGTTATGAAAGTTACTTAGCTATGTAACTAGCGGCCGTTCTTTGGATATAGGAATCGGTCATTAAACGTAGCAAACTAACTGTTGACCGGACGGCATCGCTCCTGTTAGATCGGACCGGATTCCGGAGTAATGGACTTGTGAATTGCATCGGTGTCTCTTCTTAGTGGGACGTGTTAATTGCACAGGAATAACCAATTATTTACTTTGACTCTGTCTTAAAGCCGCCTTTAAACGATCAACGGACGAAACTTTATGTAATGTCCTGAGCCTATAATGTGATAGAAGACTATAATAATGACACTAAATATTCGGGAACAAATCATGAAAAAAGAACAGAACTTTAGTCAAATAAAAGTATTGCATGAAGGCATCTTGAATCCTTCATGGTGGTAGAGTCATTTCTATCCCCGTTTCACTGACTTGATTAATCGAGTACTTCTGTTTCTATTACTATGGCAGGGCCACGCAGTAGCTTCAGCTGTCGCACAAATGGGCAGGCTTGTTAGGAACAGTACCATAGCCTCACAGAAGTGGAGATAATATACCTCTACGTTCCGTCTAGTGAGAGGTAACCGTGGTTAACTGTGGTATAGCAACGGAACAGTTTTCGCTGTTGCACGAATGAGCAGGTCCGCCTGGGTAAGTATCATAACAAAACCAAATGAAGGTGATCACTTAACATTCGGTTAATAGACTGCTTGCTTGCTAAATTTTCACACGAAAGAGCAAAAAAAAAAACAGTGATATTTATACACACATATTTTTTATGAAAACACCATCATGTTCATGAGTTTGATATTTTAAACACCGTAAGAATCAATCATAAATGTCGTCAAAAACCACAGCCACTAGACTAAACGCAATATAAAATAAATTCCATCTACTCGACAACTGTGACGAATTAAAATCGAATCCCGCGAGAATCTGTTCCGAGCCGTAAATTTTAAGATAAACAGATCACGGAGCTACGTTATTTATTATTCACGTCGGCTTTGTAAAAAACGATGTAGGGAATCTCCACCGAGTACACACAAAAAAAATTTAAGGACTCTTTTTTAGGTCTTTTACCAGTGAAAAGACTTGCATCCAAACTTTTCTTTCTGTAGTGTGATTTCTTCGATTAAATTTTTCGAAAAACTGCCAATTCTTTGGTACTCAAATAGGCGAAATCGCAGTGTAAGTCAAAAACATAACCCTCTCATTTAATTGACTTTTGTGACATTTTATTGAAATATTTCATAGATATTTCATAGAGCCGGGATAGCTCATTATGCGGGCACTTGCTTTAAATTCAATATACTCGAGCAACCCAAGTTCGATCCCCGGTGCCGGCACCAATGAAATGTTAATTCTTTGCTCTGCCTTATCACGTGCTCAGCGGTGAAGAAAAACATCATGAGGAAACCTGCATATTTTGGGAATAATAACAAGAAAAAACCAATATAGATAAAATAAGTTAAGATTTTCGTTGATGTGGCAATCAGCCGTTTAGCTCAGTGGCTAGAGCGTCAGTCCGCGAATGCCGAAGACGTGGGTTCGATTCCCACAGTGGCGATAATCTTTTCGTACTTTTTCTACAAATAAAAAAAAATATTTCTAGGATATGTGATGTTTGCCAAACTGTGTATGTATGTCACGTCGTGGACTATTTCCTAATACCCTCTGCAGAGGAGGCTTTTTCCCAGCAGTGGGATGTGTATAGGCTGCTTATACTTATACTTGTAAATATACTTATATACTTTTTACTTGTAAATGAAGAGACATACAGGCTCAAATTGTGAAATCACAATGACATCTTATGTTATGCTAATCATTAATATTACGTAAGATATATCAAATGTATCCTTTAATAAATGCTTGTTCATTGTTGATATAATAAGTCAATAGAAAGACATTATATTACATAGAAATATAATGTCTTTCTATTGACAAGACATTATATCGAAGAGGCATAAATATTGAGACATAAATCTAGAACTGTTATCAGTTTATTTATGCCGATTTCATTATATCATGTAAAACAAACATCCAACGCGCTTTATTTCATTGCGTATTTTCCTCACGTTGAACATAAATTATTACGTTAGGTTATATGACGTTGTCATTAAATAAATGGAAATATTTGATTACGGGAAGTTATTGTAGTAAATTTAATCACTGAATGATTGCTCGTGCAAGTATTGGATTCACCTCACAAGAGTTGATACTCTAGGTGGTGATCCACCAAGAATTTTATATGTGCCTCGTCACTTCTGAAATTCTTACTCTATAGTTCATATTTGGGTAAAGTTTTTGTGGATATGTTAATTCTTAGCATGGATATGACTATATGATAATCCACAAGACCCATCAAGACCACAGATTGCAAAGAAGATATCATATTTTCTTTATTTCCCAATGAAATTGATTCTAATAGGAATATCGAAGTATATTCCTATTAGAATCAATATTTATTACATCTCATAATGCATATTTTATTCAATAATAGTTTGATAATAACATTGAAGGAAAAACTGACAATAACTCGGGGCATCATCATCGTAATTTCAGCTTGTTAGATAACACTGCTGAACATAGACCTCCCTCACAGACTGCCACGAAGCACAATCCTGAGCCAACTGCGTCCATCGGCTTCCGGCACATTTGGACAGGTCGTCACGTGATAGAGGTCGCGACGAAGATATCCGCAGTAGAACAAAGATAACCTGCGTAGCTCAGTGAACTGAAGTGGCTACGGGCCAGTCACGTAATTTGTTGATTCAAAAAATTACGTGACTGTTTCCTATTCACCCAAGTGGGTGCTCCCCTGAAATCCGAGTCGTTATTTTGGCAATCAGAGCCGTTTTTTTTGTACACTTGGGGGAAATGCCTACGCATACCCGTCTTGGTCAAGCCCGGGTTATGTCGGACTCGCACCGACTAAAACCCCAACGATGTTCCACCTAGGCGCATATCGGCAGGGCCACGGGAACGCAAAGGCAGAATGTGGTAATCAGATCCCTGTCCCATCGCACTGGTGCTGCAATGCCTATGGATGACAATGAGCACACACTATCCGCAAGGAAGTGCTTTCTGCACCGTGATTAAAAAAAAGAAGCTTGGAAGTACGGTTAATAGCAATTCCTTGTAATCGACGACCGACTGTCACCTCCGGTTAACGCCATTTGTTTATGACGCGATCCTGGGCAGGTCACGACGCCTTCAACGCCGGCATCACAAACATAAACACGAATTAATATTCCATAATCTAATTTACGAGCTGATGGAAATATTATCTTAGCACAGTTCACGAATATCTCGGCCTTTGATTCCGGTTTTATTACTGCCGTACTAAATTGTCTCGGTGCTAAGATTGAATATTATATTACCAGTTCAGTTATTTTGATGCTGACACATTAAAATTTCACCGGCACCGGCCCGGTTAGTTCCCGTTCCATATTGGAGCGTTCGTGAGCGAACGAAATGTATACAAATATTTATATTCAGATCGGGCGACTTGGAATATTTCCTCGCAGTATTTCTCGGGCTGCGACAAGGAACATGAAGAAAATACAAACCACGCATTTTCAATTAGATAGGAAGAAGAGATATAATTTTGAGACTATTGTTAAGAAAAAAAAAGCTATGTATTTTTTTTATGTGAAAAGTTGCCAAGCGAGCAGACGCTTCACCTGATGTTAAGTGAATACCGCCGCCCATGGAGATCTGCTACACCCGACGGTTCCAGATGCGTTGACAACCTTTTGAAAATTGGGCTCCGGCCACCTCACTCACCAGATGAAACGCGAAAGTATTATACTTCCACTTTACGCCGGTCTTCTGTGAGGTCGTAATACCTTACCCAGACGAGCCTGCCCATTCGTGCATAAGCCAAGGCTGCTGCGTGGCCCTACCACCTAATGTATATGACATAGTGTTTTTTTCTCACATCAATATTACTAATGCTTTTAACGTGGTGGGCACGAACAGGCAAACAGAACGCAAGGAAAAACTTCTATAACTCTGTTTTCGGCATCATTTTTTTTTTATTAAAAGATTCGTTATTTACGATTACTTAAAATAATACTTATGAATACGATTATCTATAAATAGAATAAAATTTAATTTAAAAGCGTAATTTAAAAAAGAGACGTTTGGTAAAAACTGTTGCTACCATAACATTACTTGTTTAATATTACTTATTCACAATGAAAAGTCAATCTGGGAATGAGAAACGAATGTCCAACCTAATAAGAACATAAACGCTACCCTCTTTTGTTTTTGGGTGTGAGGGCTTACACACGCGTTGGATCACCGATACATTAGATTGTAAGGTCCCTACCAAGGCAGGGTCGCCGCAATTTCGGGAACAAAAGTGTTGCTCCCTTGGCAATTTGTATTCGGAAAATGGCTGTATTACCCCAATTGGGGTGCCTTATGTTTTTCGGTTGAGAAATGTAACTCAATCACTATAAAAGAGTCCACGATATTGTTAACTCAATAACATATTAATACGTCCGAAAACATAACAATCTTCCGTAACATATTATTACGTTCGAATCCAAATGAAGACAGGCGGTGACGAAATAAGATACATGAATGAATAAAACTGTCTATCTTTGTCTAACTTTATGGTGAAATTTTAGACCGCAAAATTCGTTTTTTCGGAATGACAAACGTTACGAAAAGCAACTAATAACGACTCATAGAAGATATATAAGATCAGAAAAATGAACAACTTTACGAAATAAGGTTTTATTGAATAAACTTTGATGATAATTGATTTAAATATGTGTAGTGTGTCAGCCCACAAAACGGTCTTTTTCATCAAAAGAAAGACATCCTTACTAATCCTTATTAATCCTTACTAATATTATAAAGGCGAAAGTTTGTATGTAGGGATGGATGTTTGTTACTAAAAAGTAAAGTAAAGTAACAGCCTATACATGTCCCACTACTGGGCAAAGGCCTCCTCTATACAGAGGGTATCAGGGCATAGTCCTCCACGCGGCCCCACTGCGGATTGGCGGACGTCACATATCTTCGAAATCTATATATTTTTATTAATATTTCGAAAATATGCAGGTTTCCTCACGATGTTTTCCTTCACCGCGGAGCACGTGATAAGTCAGCACTTAAAGTTAAAAACTTAATTGGTGCCGGCACCGGGGATCGAACTCAGATTGCTCGAGTATATTGAATTAAAGGCGAGCGCCCGGACACTGAGCTATCACGGCTCATGTTTGTTACTGTTTTAGGCAAATACTGCTGAATGGATTTTAATGAAACTTTACAGTAATATAGCTTATACATCAGAATAACACATAGGCTATTATTTATATACATATTTTTATGTATATCAGTGTTTCTGTCTGAATGTTACGCCTTCAGCCTTCTACGCAGACGTAGTCGCGGGCAGCAGCTAGTAAAGTAATATGTATATCTTACTGGTATTTGTATTGTGTACCGATTCCACTGTGGTAGGGTTATGCAGCTTCGGTTGTTGCACGCATGGGCGGATTTGTCCAAGGAAGTGCCACGGCCTCACAGAAGATTGACTGATTGCGTGAAGTGGAAGGATTGTAATTTTGCGTTAAGTCTGGCGAGTTTGATAATCGGAGCCCACTTTTAAATAGGTTTCAACCCACCAAGCGTTGTATGATCATTGATGTCAATGGGCGGCGGTAGTCACTTAACATCAGGCGAACCGCCTGCTAGATTGTTTCATAAAAATCTAATCAGAAGAGTAAATGCTGGCAATTGAAGATAGCTATGGTATTTTTCGTTTGCATTACGAGGCGACTGAAGTTGGCATCCCCCCTCTATTTATGAGCTTAAAGCTCTGGTGTATTTTACATGAGATCCCCGAACCCACTTTAAGCACTTCAGCTTGAGGTCTCACATAAACCTGTGTTCCTCTACGAGAGAACGTATTCTTCGATTCCCGCTCTTTTACAAACAAAGAGGCTACACTGTTCTTATTTATTTAAGCGCAGTTACCTTAGAATAACCCCACCTATTTTACGTGGGAAATCCTCTATTCATCCACTACCATCGGTTCAAAGAGCGTCAGAAGGTGGGAGTACCAGTCGAAACCGGTACCCACTAAAAATCTACACCTACACCGACTCTAGGAACTTATCCCCTTCTAGAAAAATTGTTTATTTGATCTACAAATAATCGTTTATTAGATGTAATTTAGATAGATTAACGCCCGGTTTCTGAAACACTGAACATCGTAGAAATTAACTAATCAGCTGTCAAATGGCTTATCAAATGTCATTTAAGTTGCCAAAAGGATGGTTAAACTCTCTGAATTGATCAGAATGATCTTCTTAATGATCAGAATCAGCTGATTAGTTAATTTCTACGGTTATCACTGTTTCAAAAACCGTTAATGTCCTAAAGGTTGGCTAAATAAATTGTTAATGTCAAAAAATATAATGATCGTCCGATCTGTGTCGCCTGTGTACCATCATCGAGAAGAAATATTTATATATCACTAGCTTTTCGCAGACGGCTTAGAAATATATTTCTGTTAAAAATTAATATATATTTTTTAAAGAAAGATTTAATGAAAGATATTTTCAACCCCTTTAAAGCGCTTTTTTCCATTTAAAAAATACCCAGACACACCGGGTCTAGACTATCTGTGTACCAAATTTGAAATAAATCGGTTCAGTAGTTTTGGCCTGAAAGCGAGACAGACACACAAAGTTACTTTCGCATTATAATATTAGTATGGATTTTAATTTTGATTGACCACACGCTCACTGACCATCTCTATGCTGTTACACAAAAAAGTCTGATTTTCGCGCCATATTCTAGGACACCTTGATTCTAGGTCATGATTCATAAACGTATCAAATGCATTATTTTAGATGAGTTTTTAAATCTGAACTCGTCAAATATATCATTAATAATGTGTATATTTAAAACTACCCATCAAGACAGGATAATGTGGTCATAGGACAATATTATCCTTTTTGTTAAAAAGTTAGGGTGGTAACTATCGTAGGGTAATGTTGAAAAAGAGTAAAACTGAAGCAATTACGAACATCAATACCATTTGAAAAATATAGTGCAACTTTGAAGTTATAAAATATACGCTGTAAGATAAAGCTGTAGTGATTTATTGGTTTTTAATGATGCGCTATAAAGAAATTTACTGGAGCTTTTTACATCTCAAGTACACCGATTTTGAACACCTCGAAATTTTTATCTCAGACTTGTTTAAAATGTTATAATATTAACACAACAAACGATGACCTCGATACACACATTGAGTTTATTAGGGCTTCATATACGTGTATAAATAGGGTTTCATATAATTCCATACTCACAGAAACCCTAATGAGACTGACAAAGTTAATTTATCTACTATTCAGTAACAGATTTAGTAAGTCTGAAATGTCTGCGGCCGTGATATACTTTTGCTCTAAAAACGTACGAAAATGGGAAGGATAATTAATATATCCCCTTGGGGTTAAGGCGCTCGAATCGAATTGAGGCAAAGTACATCTCTTTCGTTATGGAAGTTTGCAATAGTTATAACCGACTTAAACATTTCAATAACGTATTCAGACAGTTTTCCCAACTCGGTAAACAGTTTTTCCAACTTTCCACCCTTATACGGTAATGTATTATTATATTACTTGAAAAGAATATTAATATAAATATAATGAAATAAAAAAGTAAAGTAATAGCCTATATACGTTCCTACTGAGTAAAGACCTCTGTACAGAGGGTATCATAGTCCACCACGCGGCCCCACTGCATATTGGTGAACTTCAAATTTCTTAGAAAAGTTTTTTTTGTTGTTATTTCGAAAATATGCAGGCTTCCGTACGATGTTTTCCTTCACCGTAGAGCACGTGATAATTCAGCACTTAAAATTAGCAATTTCATTGGTGCCGGCACTGGGGATCGAACTCAGGTTGCTCGAGTATATTGAATTAAAGGCGAGCGCCCGGACAATGCCGGCTCATTTAAATTCAAAATTAAAAACACAAGTATCATAAAATAAAATTTTATGATACTATTTTGTATTTTTTTTTTTGCTTGTGTTTTGATTATTTAAAATTATCAAAGCTTGACCTTTTACAGTCAGTCAACGCAAATAGAACATGAAAGCCGCACGATCATACAAGTGATTTTTAATAAATGACACCACAACACATACTAACAGTAATCACGCGCATATATAAAAATTAAAAATACACTGAATTATCTTCGAACAAAATTAACTTATTTGTTAGTTCAACTAAGTCTATACTAGCGGCACAAACACTGACATTAATTACATGTATGGTTAAATATTTTGGAGCGACGATAATGCTTCCATGTTTTATTTGCATCCACGGCTTACTGTATTTTTTTTTCATTGTTTTGTAATTTCCATATGTACTACGCATCAAAAAGTATATACTTAATTGAAATAATAATAAAGTATAATTTTTGGAGTGGACACTTTTTTTACTATATATATTTGTTGCATTTATGGACATAATGAAAGTTACAGATAAATAAAATTGGAGTTTCTGTTTGTAATATTAAAATAACCGCTTATTAATAAATGCATATGGATGTATACACGATACAAATGCAAAATAACACTTTTTAAACACTTTGTCTGCCTGTCTGCCTGTTTGTTCCGGCTCACCTCTGAAACAGCCGGACAGACTTTGACGGGACTTTCACTGGCAGATAGCTGATGTAATAATATAAGGAGTACGTTAGGCTACTTTTATTTTAGAAATTTAATTTACATATTTAATGAAACTACTTTACGGATTTTATCGCGTTTTTTATTTTGATTTAAACTCCCGACGTTTCGAACCCTTTCCAGCGTTCATGGTCACGGGACAGACTAAGTTGTTATACGTCTTGATGTCATAACTAAACGAAACGTCGGGAATTTAAATCAAAATAAAAAACGCGATAAAATCCGTAAAGTAGTTTCATTTAATATGTATAATATTCGCGTAAAATCAAGAAAACAATTTAATTTACTTTAAATTCCACGCGGATCAAGTCGCGGGCACAGCTAGAATAAAACTATAATTGGAGAAAAAAGACACATTTAAGTATATCATCGGAATTGATTCAATTAATTGCCCCAATTCAATCAATAATGTGTGAATAACACATAAGTGTGTGTCATAACAGGCACCGCTATTGTTACTGCGTCAAACGCCTCACGACATATGTCAAAGATCGGGATTGGTTCTCGTATTGTTCTTGGCAGGACCATTATCCTGTTGTTCACTACGCTTTACATTGTTATGTACGACAAAGGTAATAGGAGGGGAATATTCTGTATTTGCTTTGTTATAATACATGCTTATACATGTACACATGCGTGTATAAATTAGTCATTTATAGGGTTCCGTACCCAAAGGGTAAGACCCGACCCTGTTGCTAACAATTCGCTGTCTGCCTGTCTATCTGTCCGTCTGTCACCAGGCTGTATTGCTTGAACCGTGATACTGTTGAAATTTTCACAAATGATGTATTTCTGTTGCCGCTATAACAGCAGAATAAAGAAAATAAAAATATTTATGGGGGGCCGTTTTTATAGATAATGGTACGGACCTAATACGTGAGTCCGACTCGAACTTGGCCGGTTTTTATAAAACAGAAGCTTAGATGGAGATTACAATTTTTTATTTTTTTTTTAAAACATTGCCCTTACCTATTTTAGGATAACATTATCCTGTGTTGTAAGGACGTTTTACAAACATAAATTTCTCGCGGACAAACACCCAGATGCGACACAACTATCTGTGTAGTTTTTGTCGCACAAATAGTTGTCCCGAGTGGGAACCGAACCCACGACCCCCGACGCTGAAGCCAATACCTTGGCAACTGCGCCACGGAGTCATCATTTTCACTTAACTCTCTAACCTTTTTTCCCACGTAAAACAACGCTCAATGACGATATGGCACTGCCTTGCAAAATATATTAAAATACAAGGAATTTTCTATTAATCAATAAACGAGTTCATCGACTAAAATAAATCATAAAGAATCGCCACCGATCGTTTGCCGTTGTCAGGAACACGTAAAAAATATGAGAGAATCCCTGTCTCCGTTCGAGTGACATAATTTCGTGAATTTGAAATTTTGCTAATTTGCGTCCGAAACGTGCTATGGAGCGATCGCGTTGGTATCTTTGGTGCGATCTACGCCGCCTTCTATTAGCCTAATTGCTTTCGGTGTTTAACGTAGAACTACAAGGCAATTGCTTCGGGCGTTAGGGATTAGCACGGTGCCACCGTCGTCTCGAAATCCGCAGACGCGCGAAGTTTCGCCCCACTTTGCGGTTCCGGCGGTTCTCCCCGACGCACCTTCCTCTTTGTAAGTCGCCTCGTACCGTGAGAAACGCCAGAAAGAATTCCAACTTCGTGTAATTAGTTTTAACGGTGCTTGACAGGAGTTTCGTTCGGAAAATTTTTAATACACTCTCATCTTGGAAGACTAATTTTATTTTATTACATCTGTCGGAAAATATTTTTCATTATAAAATAATTGTTGTAAGTGTTTTATAAGTCAAAATCAAAATCAAAATCAAAATCATTTATTCATCGATATAAGAAACTTACATTTCATTTATCAATAGTCATATTTTTTTTTAAATCTACCACCGTTTCGTAATGAGGTTCCTCTAGCGGAGAAGAAACAGGCGAAAGAAACTCCGTAGGTATCCTCTTGTTTGTAATTATTTATTTATTTATTTATTTATTTTAAGACTTCATGCACATAACTATGTACATAGGCGGACTTAATGCTGTCAGCATTTTCTACCAGTCAACCTTAGGGTGGTACCGAGATTTTGAGGTAGGTGCACAAACATTTAAAATAAATATTTTACTAATTACACATAAATATATACATAATACAATACAATTAAATAAATGTTTACATACATAAATATATATATATACTGTACTATAAATATATACATATACATAAATATATACACAAATACGCATACATATTTTTATCTGATGATATCATGAAACTGCTGGCAGCTTTCCCAAAATGTATTTCCGTGCCATTCTCTTAAAAGCAAGGCGATTCTTAGCCATTCTGATTTTGGGAGGAAGCTCATTCCAAAGAAGGATAGATTGAACAAAGAAAGAGGAATGGATAAAATCAGACTGATGAGGAGGACAGAACAGAAGGCGATTGTGTTTAGAGCGAAGATTTTTGGTGTTGACTGAACTAAGGTATTGGAAGTGGGGAGCTAAATAAGAAGGAGTAAATGGGGAATCAAGGTAAGAAAAAAGTGTGGTCAAGGCTCTTAAAGAGCGTCGTTGTCGTATGGTTAGCCAGTTTAGCTGTGAACGATAAGACGATACATGGTCATATTTGCGGAGATTGAAAACAAATCGAATGCAGTTATTCAGAAGTCGGTCGAGTTTATTGAGATGATCTGCATTCAGGTCGAAGTAGCACACGTCACCATAGTCGATTAAAGGAAAAATTAAGGACTGTACGAGCGTTACTTTGGTTTTCAACGGCAGGAAATTCTTGAGACGGTAAAGACAGCGCAAGACATTAGTGACTTATTATTTTTTTTTTTAACAAAAAATTCAAAAATTATACAACTGATTTTTTTCCTTTTAGAAATAGCTTGGGAGCGATCAACTCATTCCCAGGGGTTATTGTCATTAATGTATTCATTTGTATTATAATAACCCTTTTTATAAAGTTTTTCTTTAATAAATTTCTTAAACCTGTTAATAGGCAGGTTTTGCGCATTTACTGGGATTTTGTTGTAAAAGCGTATACACCGCCCCATGAACGAGTTACTTACTCTATGGAGTCTAGTAACTGGCATTACAAGCTTGTGTTTGTTCCTAGTGTTCACATTATATATATCAGTATTCTTATCAAAATTATTAATATTTCTACGCACATACATAACATTTTCATATATATATTGAGAGGCTAAGGTTAATATATTTATTTCTTTAAACTTCTCTCTCAAAGATGCATTCAGATCTAGATTATAAATAGCTCTTATGGCCCTTTTTTGCAAAATAAAAATTGTTTCTATATCGGCCGCGTGCCCCCATAGCAAAATACCATATGACATTATGCTATGGAAGTAACTAAAATACACAATTCTAGCCGTTTTTACATCAGTTAGACATCTTATTTTCCTTATAGCATACGCTGCAGAACTTAGTCTATTCGCAAGTTTGGATATATGGGGACCCCATTGAAGCTTTGCATCGAGAGTTATTCCAAGAAAGACAGTCGTATCCACAAGGCCTAACTCCCCCCCCATTTATAAGTACATTGGTAGCACCCAAATGTTTAACATTAGGTGTTGAAAATTTCATACATTTAGTTTTATTACCATTTAATAGTAAATTGTTAGTATTAAACCAATAGACTATTTCTAACATAGCATTATTTACCTCGTCAAGTGTAACAAGCTGTCAATTGATTTTAAAAATTAATGATGTATCATCGGCAAATAAAACTATATCGTCTTTACTCCCTACAAAGTAAGGAAGATCATTAATGTAAATGAGAAAGAGAAATGGGCCGAGAATCGAGCCCTGCGGAACGCCCATAGATACCGTCGACCCAGAAGAACTAGCACCATTAATTACAACTTTTTGAATTCTATTAGATAGATATGACTTAATGAGGTCAAGCGCGGTACTTTTAATGCCATAATGGCGCAATTTCCTGATCAGTGTTTCATGATTCACGCAATCGAAAGCCTTGGAAAGATCACAAAAGACACCCAGAGCATCCTGTGAACTCTCCCAAGCCTCAAATATATGTTTGATCAGCTCTACACCAGCATGGGTTGTAGAACGACCCCTTGTAAAACCAAACTGGTTGTGATGTAATAATTTATTTAAGTTAAAATGTGTTAACAGCTGATCTAGAAGAAGTTTTTCGAAAATTTTACTAAGTGTTGGTAGTATAGAAATGGGTCTAAAATTAGTGGGGTCCGAAGTACTACCGGATTTAAATACAGGTATGACTTTACTGTGTTTCATGAGATCAGGGAATACGCCAGAATCTACACTACTGTTAAAAATTATTGACAAATAAGGTGCGATTGAATCTATTATTGAGGCAGTCACTTCAACGGACATTCCCCATAGATCTGCCGTTTTCTTAAGTTCAATGGTCTTAAACATTTTTATAATATCTTTTGCATATACAGCCTGAAATTTAAAGATTGTGGTGCAAGCACTTACATTTTCCTTAAGTAATGTCTTGGCAACAGCAGGAGAAGAATTCAGCGACAATGTAGTTAAAGTAAGAATCTCACTAAAGAATTTTTCAAATACTTCAGCTACCTCCTGATTAGTCGTTATAAATTTATTATCAATGTTGAGCTGGTAGTCAGACCTACGTGATTTGGTTTTTCCTGTTTCACTATTTATAATGTTCCAAGTCATTTTTACTTTATTAGAGGCATTTTTAATTTTATTTCTCAAATGTAATGACTTGGCGGCAAGACACACTTTTTTAAATATTTTTGAGTAATTTTTAACATAATCTTTAAATGTCTCAGAATGATTGTATGACCTTTCACTGTAAAGTTCATACAATCTTCGTCTACTGCGGTGAATTCCTGCTGTTGCCCATTCATTAAAAAAATAAGTGTGTTTCATAAAAGAAATTGACTACTGTGTAGTGTGTTAGTGTAATGCGTAAATGAAATATCAATAAAGTGTCTATGGACGATTTTTTGAATGTTGTCATTAACCTCTTATATCAATTTGATTACTCTTGACTTGTTACATTGAGGAGCCAAATATAACTTGTAAAGTTCTTTGCCTTAGACGCCTGTTTAACGACTTTCATTTCGATATCTGGACATTAAAATACACTTACTTACCCTTACTTTAGGATAACATTACTCGGTGTTGTAAGAATGTTTTACATACATAACTTTCACGTGAACAAACACTCAGGTGCAAAATAATTATCTGTGAGTCACACAAACATCTGTCTCTTGTGGGAATCGAACCCACGTACCCCGACGCCGAAGCCACGGAGTCCTCTTATCTTATTTTATCTTCATCTTATCTATTCTTTAATAACTACGCGACAACTCTCGCATTTGGTATATATCACGTCGATGTGTTTCCATATTCATAAGAGATGAATCTCGTATTAATAGAAGGGGGTAGCGAAGCGGAGTACGTCCGGTAACGACAATTGACACCGTGCGATCGTTTCGCTTGAGCGAGCGTTTCGGTCTGATGATTGGCCTCCGACTCAACAATTTATCTTAAGAATAAGTATCATAATTATGTGTATTAACATAATAACATTTATTAGATATCGACCATAATTCCTAACTGATGAAGAAATACGGGATTTAACTAAATTGTGTCGTGGCAACCCAAATTTTGTTCACCTTTCGATTTTATGCATTTAAACTAGTTGTCGGACAGATGTTGTCCCCTACACACTATTTAAATTCAACAACTTAGAAATAAATTAAAAAAATGTAGTTGACCGAATTGTGAATCTTAACCATTCTCAAATCGAACTGAAGGCACACAAAAATATATATTAGCTAAGTGGCTAGAGAGGCAGGGCACCAATCCCGAAGACGTGGATTCGTTTCACACAGCAGCAGCGAAAAAAAAAAAAAATTTCGTTTCTTTTTTCTACAGAAAATTTAATGTTTAATCTTAAGTGCAGCGATAAGCACTAAAAAATATTCAATTTGCAAAAAGATGACGGTTAAAGTGAAAGTATCCCTCTTCACAATTACCTTGTTAGCGACCGGTCCTTAAATTATTACAGCTCTGGTATATTGTTACATTTGCACACACTACGGTGGTAGGGCCACGCAGCAGCCTCGGCTGTTGCACGAATGGGCAGGCCCGTCCGGGTAAGTACCACGACCTCACAGAAGACCAGCGTAAAGTGGAAGTATGACAAATACTTTCGCGTTTCGTCTGGTGAGTGAGGTAGCCGGAGCCCAATTTTCAAAAGGTTGTCAACACATCTGTAACCCTCGGGTGTAGCAGATGTCCATGGGCGGCGGTATTCACTTACCATCAGGTGAACCGTCTGCTCGTTTGGCAAATTTTCACATAAAAAAAAAAAAAAAATTGTTTGCAGTTCCAACGGTTCACGTGCAAGGTGTAGCCGGAAAGAAGGCGTCACTGCCATGCGACACACAACCGCTCTCTTCAGACGATCAAGTGGCGATGGTGCTGTGGTTTAAGGAATCTGATGGGGAGCCTTTGTACAGGTAAATTGCGGTATTTTTTTCAATTAGCGCACGGGTGTTTTTCGACTTAACAAACATTTTATTCGGTAAAGAAAAATCATTAATGAAATAATCAACAAGCATAATTCGGCGGTCGATTATAGTTTTCGAGAAAATAAAATATATAAAACGTTATTGTCACAAAAAAAAGTCCGCCATTTACACAGTATAATATATATTTTTTAATTTAATGAGTCACAGATCCGACACAGAGTTAGGGCTACCTAGTCTATGTGTTTTTTTTTTAATAACCACTCAGAACGTCAGTGTAACAACAATAGTGCAAACTACGCATTTGCAAAATACACATATTGTGTACTAGATAACTTAATATTATGTGTACTAGATAAACAAACTCAAACATTCTTTTATTCTGTAAATAGATAAAGAGGAGAAAATATTACGTTACATTAAAAGTAATTCTCTCGACTGTTTTATTAAGAACTATTGTACGCTGAAATTATTTTCTGTAAGATCTTTTTTTAATTGAATAAACAGCCGTAAAACAATTACTTTAGAAACGGCGCTTTCTCAGAATTTATATGAAATTATTCAAGTACAATTTTGTACAAATGTAGCATGAACGCAATGGTAGGCCAGTAACTCCCAAGTCCCAGGTTTCGGGTTCATATCACAAATATGGCCGATGACTTCTCTATTTTTAAGAATTTTATACGGATTTTTTACTTTGTCGGTTTCCCTAATAGGTTCCGTAAAACTAAATTATATCATCTCCAGACACGTTTAAATGAAGTATGAGATCATTGTACATGCAAACGTTAATATTTTCGATCATCATCATTATTTCAGCATGTTTGAGTCTACTGCTAAACGTAGGCCTACCCTACAGACCGCCACAAAGAAAGCTCCTGAACCACCTGCATCCATCTACTTCCATAAGAGACTGTTATTACAGTCAACGACCATCACGGTCCGAACCTCAATAGCCCGTACACTCCTCCTTAGTTAACACGCGCATGAGTACATGCGTTAAAAAAATGCGCATCCCTACCCACTGTGGAGGGTCCCAAACCTTGGGTTCTGGCTAGCCCACGGGTTCTGCGTTCGATGAAGCTTTAAAAGTCTACGGTCTCAGCGCCGACTTCAGTTACAACATAACATAAGGAGGCTGCCACTCGATAATACGTCCGATACTCTATATATAAATAAATAAAATTGAAGCGTCTGTTTGTAATATTAAAATAACTTTTAACTAAATGCAATTATCAAAATAACTTTGTTACAATTTTATATTGCTAATCTCTGCCAATCTTAAGATTTGAACATTAAAATACATGATAATTTCTTGTATTTACGCGATTACACATTATAAATGAAACTAATTTTTACGAATTTATCGCGGGATAAAATATCACGGATTAAAATACATGGTTCAAATGCTAAAAAACAATGTAGGTAAAAGACGTTAAGATTTTCGTCGGTGTGGCAATCAGCCGTTTAGTTTAGTGGTTAAAGCGACAGGCCGCGAATGCCGAAGGCGTGGGTTCGATTCCCATAGCGGCGACAATCTTTTCGTACTTTTTCTACATATTTTAATGTGTGTCTACTTGTTAATAAAAGAAATGGCCGGACCGATTTCGACGGGACTTTCACTGGCACAGCTAGTTAATAATAAATTCTCTTAAAGGTTCTGTTCCACAGCTACGATGTACGTGGTCGCGCCTTAAGCCAACCGAAGCTCTGGTCGTCTCCTTCTGGATTTGGATCGCGGGCGTTCTTCCGTGCCGCCGCTATCCCCGCCACTCTTCTCCTGGACAACGTTTTCACCAGCGACGCCGGCGTCTACCGCTGCAGGGTCGACTTTAAGAACTCGCCTACTAGGAATCTGAGGCTCAATTTCACCGTTATAAGTAAGCAAACTTATGGTAATTAATGTGGCAATGCCACTCAAAAATTTCAATAACTATCGCCAACACCTCACGGTTGACTTTAAGATTACTTAAGTGTTTTAAATATAGATAATATAGATATACGGCCGGTTTCGGTTAGAGGAACCTCATTACGAAACGGTGGTAGATTTAAAAAATGACTATCGATAAATGAAATACACATGTATATTTGATGTATATTTCTTATTTCGATGAATAAATGATTTGAATTTGAATTTCAATACAGATAGATTTGGTTACTGGAGATATTAATTTGCCATAAGTATTATGGAACTAATGTCAAATACCTACCCAAATCTGAAACCGACCGATAATAGATAATATTGATAAGGATGTAATAATATAAGGCTAGTATAGTATCAAACAAATTTACGGTACCCGTGACGCGATAATCTCGACAACTATTTTTTAATCTTCATAATATGTAGTAATGCACGTAGTAGTAAACATTTTATTGGCAATTTATATTTCAACCTCAAATTTATTGTTTTAACTTAGTCAAGAGGTTTTTAATATATAGGTACCTAATATATTTACTATTTTAACTAATTTTTATTTCTTTAATTATGACTAACGCAAGAAAAGAGTAATAGTTCAGAGTCATATTTCTCGTATACGTATTAAAATCATAGCGATTTACTGATATAACTCTTAATTCATGAGCTTTCGTGCTTCGAATTTAAGTATAACTCTTCTAAAAGAAGACTTGATAAATGATCTATCAATTTATACCCCTGAGCCTAAAATACTCACATCACCGTTAACTAATTTATGGCTGAAATATTCGTGGGGAACGATTTTTAAAAAGCGCTATTAATATTGTTTCGCAGTTTTTATAGGTACCTTTAACTGTATTAAGTTATCGTTCGTACCACTAACAGTCATTCCCAAGCTATTAATAACCATAATGAAAGGTATCATGACATTGCTTTTCTGCTGCAGAGGATTGAGTATAAAACGAGCTGTTTTTCAAAAGTAAAAAAACGTTTTGCCCGTAGCAAAGAATGAATGGAATCCAATCATGGACCGGAAGTTCGCTCGCATTTTCACTTTTTTAATACGAATTGAAAAATACAAACTAGGGTCGGTATTGTATACCGCTTAGAGGAGCTAATCAAAATGATAATACATTAAAACAAACAAAGTGCTAGTTTAGAATGTTTGTGGAAATTTAATTAACATCAGGGTAACGTAAAGTACTGCTAGTTTGCCACTATATAACATGAAAAACAAAATATCTTATTACTAATGGAGTAGATATTTTTAACACTCCCATACACATTATGCATTGGCATTTCAATTTAAATGTGGAAATTAAACTTTTTTAAATTGTAAATTTTGGGGGATAGAACCTGAGCTTTTTAGTTTCGTGCCCAGACGCGTTGTCTACTAAGCTAATCGGCCGATAATCTCACGACATAAGAAAATTTACTACTACGTATCTTGACTGTTTAGTTGAAGTACCCGGAGGACCGAGCTTTGCTCGGTTTGTTTTTTTTTGGTAAATCGTGTATTTTGGAAATTACATTTAGATACAAATTACTGAGTAATGAAATATGCATAATATTTTTCGATCTTACCGACGTAATAATAAGAAAATATGAACTGATGTTTTTCACAAAAGAAAAGAACTTTAAAAAAAAGGGTAAAAAATAACAAAATAACAAATCGACAAAAAATTAAAAATAAAGAAAGCAATGATCTGGAATCGAAAAAAAGTAAAAAAATAAATGTGTAAATGATCGTGACGCGAACCACGACCGTCTGTTTTGGGGCCGCCCGATTACCGACCGAGCTATTATGACATTTTCTCTTGCGGCGAAATTTACCGTCATATTCGAATTATATTTTTCATTCCCTGAAAACAGGGATAAAAGGACATTTTCTAAAAATGAAACCTAGCTAGATCGATTTTTCGCCCCCGAATCTAAGTAAATCTAAAAGTTTTTTATATCTTATTTTAATGTGAAAAATTCTCAAGTGAGCATGCCGTTCACCTGATGTTAAATGAACACGACCGCCTATGGATCTACAACACCTGATGGCTTGCTGATGGGTTGAAAAACTTTAAAAAGTGGACCCGGCTACCTCAATCACCAGACGAAACGTAGAAGTATAACGCTTCCACGCCGGTCTTCTGTGAGGTGGTACTTCCCCGGAAGAGCCTGCCCATTCATGCAACAGTACAAACTGTTGCGTGGGCACACCACACAGTGTACATTTTACAATATGTTGCCATTATTTATTAGTACCAATGGTGCTGATATAACCATTAACATCAAGTCGAAGATGGCCCCAAGTTTGTGGACAGTTTCAAACAACTACTACTTCTAAAACAATTCGGACCTAAATAAGTACGTTTAGTTGCAAATCAATGGAGGGAAGCGTTTGATATTAGGCAATATCGGAATAGAAATAATCGTCCGAAATGCTATGAACATTTCTAGCGCTCGTTTCCGATAATATTCCAAGGGAATTACTTTCTTAAGTGTTTTGGCGGCCAATGAGAGAGGCGAAGAATGGGAATGATAAAATAAACGTTAAGTCCCTAACAATAGCCGTTCACTTTTATTCCTCCCCGTTAATTTGTGGTCGTTTTGGGGCGTGGAATGATTTTGATTGGATAATATTCAATACGAATTCGATGCTTGAAAAGGTGAGTGAAATTTTTAAAGAGTACTAATAAAAAGGGCGAAATGAGTTTGTGGCGCAGTTACTCATGAATGATAGCACGCAGCTCTTAGGCAATGACTTTGGCACCAGTGCAGGGGTCGAGTCCCACACGAGACAAGCATTTGAGAGAGCCACTGTTCCGGATTTTGGTCTTTGTTCCCGTAAAAAAAACCGGGCAAGTGCGAGTCGGACTCGTGCACGAAGTGTTCCGTACCATTATTTAAAACGGCAAAAAATCTTGTTTGTTGTATGGGAGCTCCACTTAAATAATTTTTTTTTATTTCGTTATTTAGTATTTGTTGTTATAGCGGCAGCAGAAATACAACATTTGGGAAAATTGTAACTGTATAACTATCGCTGTTCATGTGATACAACCTGGTGACAGACGGAAAGACGGATAGACAGACAGACACAAACAGACAGATGGACAGACAGAAGGTGGAGTCTTAGTAATAGGGTCCCGTTTTACCCCTTGTACCCTAAAAACCTAGCTATAATTAGCCAGCCATTAACACATTATTTATATGATGTGAGGACCCCACATAGGTGATATAAGGGCCAGCCCTGTAGTCCCGGGCTCAAGGCTAAGGTATCCCCTGCCGACGAAGTAAAAGGCGACTAAAAGGGGATACGGATGGGCAGCCTCCGAGGCGTGCTCAGGCGTAGTACCGTGGGACACCGGTGCGTTCCATGGGAGATCCCGGAATCCCTCCAAATGTACGGAAGGTGACCACCGAGGGGGTTTTAGTGGTTAAGAAGAACCCCACATAACCCTGTCATGTAAGGTGACAGGATATATTTCGAAGATCCCCCCCCCCCCCTCCCCATACCAAAAAAAAGGTGATACAAGGGCGGGAGAAATAAAAGAAAGTGATAAAATAATTGAAATTCAGATAGCAGTCGATCCAATTAGTCGGTGTTTACCTATCAAAATATAATTTTCTAAGAAAGTGATATCAGTGTCCAGGCGCCTTTAAAATAATTGAAATTCAGATAGCAGTCGATCCAATTAGTCGGTGTTTACCTATCAAAATATAATTTTCTATACCGGTAGGTAGGTAAGAGCCGTGATAATTTGTTGTATGATAATGGCACTAGAAGAGCGAATATCGTTTAATTAGTTACGGCGAAAATATAAAATGTCCAAACTCAAATTCCCAATTCCATGTCAAAGCTTAACATAAATCATTAGCTTACTAATATTGGTGAAGCGATCAATAGCTAAATGAGCCATTAAGAGCTGGATGGTTATACAGTACGTTTCAAATTTAATGTTTTGCAATTCTCAGTTAAATTTTGATACAGTTAAACATTTATTGTAGTGTAAAATAAACTAGGTAAAATTATTGCAAAATTTTCCATTACTGACTAAATTATTGTATACAGATTTTCCTTCGTTCTAGTTTTTCTTCGTTTAGTTTTTCTTTTTCATTCACGTACTAACTTTAAGGGCGAACTTTTTCAATGTTTGGGACCACTGAAAAAGTTACCCTTAAAAAAGGAAAAGTAAACAAAAAGTTTGTTTTATTTGTTCTAATTGCATTTCGTTTTATTTCCCCAAAAGAAACAGGAATTGTAGTCTATTTTAAATAAAGTATTAAATATCTCATTACTTTTACGCGAGTAACGTATACTTCATATTGAAATCTATACAATTTTGTGAGATCTCAGGGATCTTTTTATCTGAATTTTAGAAAAAAAAAAAAACTCCAGTTGACTTTTGGGGAGGCAAAAAGGTGAATTCAAAACCTTGTTTTTGGTATGTTTAGTGAATGAACTTCCTGTTTGAATCTCATTGAATCTTCAGTTGTGGTAAAGTTGAGCACAAAGTACTTAAAAACTTAAACGTACTTGTTTAAGCAAGACATGAATATTACCAGTTTGTGTACATGTAAATTGTCCTAGGCTGGATACACTAATTGAAGTAAATATAGTGTAAAGTGATAGATAGTTTTATAATCATAGCTAGTGTTATTGTAATGCATCTTACTGTCAAACATTCTCAAACATTAAATTATATTCAGGTTTTTTGTTTTAACAGTTTTCCTTGTTCTCAGCACCACCTAACCGGCCAGTAATACTAGACGCGAAAACGAGAGATCAAACACGTTTATTGGAGCCTTACGATGAAGGCGATACGTTGGAATTGATATGTGAAGTTCAAGGAGGTAAGCATATCCAAATATAAACAAGATAAGAAACAGTATTTTATGTCTAACTAGGACTGAATCTCGTAAATATCATATATAAAAAACATACAATACACGAATAATTATATTCGTGTATTGTAGAATGAATACAATATATAAATATTAACTACATTCATTCGATATTCTACGTGAATAATACTTGATTTATATTCGACCAGTCAAAGAGAAAGAGCTAATGTTATTTGAAAATTGTATCTAGTAATAAGATTGATAAAAATTTTGTTTCACATATTTTTTAAAGATCTCATTTCTCTTATTATGTTTTTACATTTTAATGTTGTTTTTACATAAAATTGTATAATAAAACTAAACTTGTTAAAATGAATGAAAAGTGGAAGCTAAAGTAAGACAAGTTTGATTTTTGTCAATAATTTTGGGAACCTGAAAATAAACCAGATTGATGAAGAGTATTGGGTATAATATGGAATTTGACGTTCGTAACTTTATAGTTTGATATTTAAGACCATCTTTCCTAATCAGAGCATTAAATGTACTCGAGCAATGTAAGTTCAATTCCCAGTGTCAGCATCAATCAAATTCTTAATTACAATTAGAAGTGATGACTTATCACGTGCTCAGCGATGAAGTAAAACATCGTGAGGAAACTTGCATAGTTTATAGATGATAACAGAAATAAACCAAAGAACTCTGCCATCCGCAGTACCATCGGCAGGCGATTCACCTGATGCTAAGTGATAACCGCGGCCCATGGACATTAGCAACACCCATAGGGTTGCAGAGTGCTTTGTCACGTTTTAATAAAGTGGGCCCCGGCTACCTCACTCACCAGACGGAACGCAGAAGTGTAACAAATCTACTTTACGCCGGTCTTCTGTGAGGTCGTGGTACATACCCGGACGGATCTCCCCATTCGTGCAACAGTGAATACTATTACATAGCTCTACCATAGTTAAATAGGTGGATTATTCGCCCTTCTACTCTCTGTAGTGATTAGCCCAACAGTGGAACATAGAGGCCGTTTGTATAATAATTACTTATCAATAATTACAAAACAGTGTAGAACAAATTATTATTTATTATTAAATCATTGATTTAATATTATGTAATAAAAAAGAACTGCTTTATTATAAAAATTCATCTTACGGACAAGCAATGTATGAACATTTACCAGGCCAGCAAAATTCTGAGTAGTGAACATTTGTCTTTCTTCAGTAAGCACAAACATCTACAGCTAAACAAAAAAGTTCCCAGTTAAATTGTATTCTTGAAGCCCTTTGAGATGGAGAAGGATCCACTGAAATGATATTTCGTAAAAAGAAAATAAACTCGGCAGCTTTGAAGTTTATATGTGCGCTTTAGACTTTTTCAAATATAGTGTAATTGTGTTCGTGTATTTAGATACGAAAGTCCACTTTTGTGAACTTCTCCGAATAATACACCAGAAAATTACATGGGCAGCATTTGTTCAGTAAAATTTATAGAACGTATTTAGTAAAACAATGTAATAATATCTTTTTCTCCTGCCCTTACCCCCACACTACGTGGGGCCGGCACTTCATATAAATACTCATTTAGTATGTTATCTTTTCTGGTCACACCATGCATCCATCTTTATATATATATATATATATATTATATATATATATATTCCGTATTTAATATATTAAAATGAAAATAAGATAACATTCAATATATTTTTTTTAAAAAGTTGTTCTTCGGTATATCCTCCTCCGCTCCGATCGTTTTCAATTTTTGAATACCGTCTCATTGAATGATGTACGAGTAGGGACCATGACACTGACACGGGTTAGAGATGTTTCATATCGCGATAAAGAAAAATGTCAGTTCGAAAGATATTTTTAAGATTTTCAAGAAAGTTTAAGGGTAATGGTTAAGTTGATTTTGTTACATACATTGTAAACATGACATAAAATCCAAATTTGTTTATAAAAGCGTATCATATTGTTTGCGTGCAAATTTAGTTTTGGTATGGAGATAGATTGTTCGCTGGATTCCTTGTTCCACGAGATGCTTTTTGTCCCATTAGTTATTTAATGTTTACTCTCAGGTGAACCGAGGCCGCGGCTGACATGGTATTTGGAGAATACCGTTATAGATGACTCCTTTGAACAGCAGAGTGACGGCATAACTGTCAATACGCTGACCTTCCCCAGCATCGGACGGCAGCATCTGAATGCGAGGTTGATCTGCCAGGCCTCGAACACCAACCTGGCGCCGCCACAAACAAAATTGCTCATCTTGGAGATAAATCGTAAGCTCACAATCATTTTTGATATAAAGACACATGACTCAGTTGCTAAGATGTCGGTACCGAAGGGTTTGATTCCTCCAAGAACAAGTTTTTAAAGCTCCCAACGAGGGTTTACGAAAGGCCCGTGGCCGGTTGAAAAAACTTGCTAGTACAACTAACATTATAATTGATATGTTGTGCCAACCCCACTTGCCGCTGGTGGGACGAAAGTAGGAGGATTCCTGCCGGAATTAGTGCCTTTTACAATTATAGAGCCCGATAAGTCAAAGCTTTAAAATGTTTCTAACAATAAATTCATAAAAAATATTTGTACCTACATTACCTTTATCTCACTATATTGTAATGTTTTTTATTATAAAGTTTTGACCTGATCTGGGTAGACAGAGGTGGCTAACATAATCAACTGTTCACCGGTCCTACTTCTGTTGCATAGAAGAATATGAGGCAGGGACAAGATACATTTAATAATCTGGAAAACTTTTAGAATTCTCTGAGAATCTTGTTAAAGATATTCGAGGTCAAGGGCATTCGTTCCCGCGATATTCCCACTAGTCATATTGATTTTTGAACCGAAATGAGATTCAAAGTTCGCGGTAATGCTAGTTCTCTAGAGTTCATAAATTTGGTCAATGTATACACATTTTGTAACATTATCCACGATACAGGAATTTTAATAAACATCATAAATTTTAAATTATAAAGTTTCGAACCTGCGTCTTCTGGTTTCGCGGCCAGACCCTTTACCAACTAAGTGGCAGATGACCTCACAGCGTGAAAAAATCGACACCTACCTACGTTTATATTGCATTTTTAACATTGCTTGGCGCCATCTAGTGTGCACCGTTTACAGCATACGACACCTTACAAAGAACATTCAACGATTAACAATTGCAACGAGACAACTCATCATAAATTTGTTACAGTAAGGCCGCTCACCGTCCAAATATTGAGCAAGACCCGTCAGCTGTCTGCTGACAGGAGCTACGAAATTGAATGCAAGTCGACTGGATCTAGACCGGAGGCACAGATGACCTGGTGGAAGGGCACGCGTCCCTTGAGGAGGAATGCCAAAACGGTTCGTTTGAACATCATACTATAATAATTAGTAATTCACATTTGAGTTTTAGAATGAAACTGTAAGTTTTGACTTGCCCCGTTAATTGAGAAAGCGATATTAACATAGGACACATTAACTATAATTAAGGATCCAATCCAATTCAATAATTTTGTGGAAACAATCTCAAAGGATGGTTATATGAAGCCACATTTTATTATATTTAAGTAGCAGATCTGTGTTAAATCTGAGCTTTAATTCAAAACCCTATCTATCATGGTCAGAGAAAAACGGGTAACGAGTAAGATTGAGTTGACACTGAATTGATTTAAGCCCTTTCAAACGCCGAAGTCGATAAGAAAACTATAGGAGACCATCCATCTTTTGCAACTTTACATTCAGAGATTAAATGAAAGTGCCTGAAACTTATCGCAATGTTCTAATATTGTGTGTGATTGGAATTATTGTAGTAGCAGTTACGTTCATATAATAATGTAAGTTTAAAATAACGTCAAAAGAAATTGAATTAAGGGAGAATTTAAAAATTACATCGACATTATTAATAAGATGATTAAAGTGTACAGTTTTGAGTGAACATAAATGGATCCGAACAAAATATCTACCGTCGCTTTAAATAAAATGTTCTGACGGAAATCGAAGTTGAAATCACTTTGCATATTGATGGCACGAGTAAAAATAATAATAAAACATCGCTTTATAAAATGCAATTAAGATATTGACGTGTTCGGCTGTATTCGATTTTTTTTGTACAATTCTCTTGAAAATATTGTTATTTTCAGAAAACAACGACTGTAGTTACAATACTGAATGGAATTCCTATTTCTACGTGGACTATAAACAAGATTTTCAACAAGACTTTTGTAGTATTAGACGATATTGAGTATAAAAGTATTAGTTAGTAATAGTTTTCTACTTTTATAAGAATCTCAATCTTTTAATATTCGCACAAAGAAAAGGGTAAACATTTTTAGTGACGTTTCATTTTGCTTTTAAATTCTCGATGTATCAAACACTTTATGTGGTCAGTAGACGGGCTGATAAACGAAGTACAATAAATGTCGAAAGACCAAAAAATGTAAAGTAACAGCCTATATTTGCCCCACTGCTGGGCAAAGGCCTCCTCTGTACAGAAGGTGTTAGGGCATAGTCCAGCAAGTGGCCCCACTGCGGAATGACTTCACATATCTTTGAAATATTTTTTTTTGTTATTGTTTCGAAAATATGCAGGTCTCTCACGATGTTTGCCTTCACCGTGATAGCTCATTGTCCGGGCGCTCGCTTTAAATTGCATATACTCGAGCAACCTGAGTTCGATCCCCGGGGCCGGTGCCAATGAAATTTTCAATTTTAAGTGCTGATTTATCATGAAAGCCCAGAGACATTGGATGATGACAGAAATAAAATGTGTTAAAAAACTTCTTGTAACTACATTTTTAATCTTAAAAACAGTTTCAACGTCATAATGTGCGTTGCCACCTTTTAATAAAATGACATAATACATTTATCAGAACCGACTTTAGTGATGATTTTCTAATGTATTGACGATATGTTTGACATAAGACGCCGTTGTTATAACATGTTACTATACACAGCGGCGATTTCATACACCTTATAAATATGTTCCGTCTAAATGGAGGAGAGTTGCTCAAGACAGGAAGCAATGGAAATTACTGGAGGAGGCCTTTGCCAAAAGTCACATTGAGTTGAGAGACATCCTATAGCCTAACGAACTAAACAATACAGCCATAAATATTTAATCTCAAGTTCAACAGGTTAAATAAATAAATAAAAAAAATATTTTGTCACGGTGTCCTATTCTTTCCATTAATATTTTTACCTTGACAATAAAATATAACGAAGAAATATTTCAAGTTTCGTTTACGGTAAATATTTAATATACGCTTGTGTTAAACGAGAACTTATTTTTATTTTCTTTGAAGACTGTAGGAGTAAGTCTAAAAAGGAGAAATAATGTATAAAGGTCTCAAACGGAGTAGGTCAAACATCAAGTGCTTGTTATATTTCCACAGTGTACATATTTACTGTTATTAAATGGAAGAGAATACAGTTATTAGACTTCCATACGAAGGATGCTCTTTTCCTGGCTTTGGTAATTCTACTCTAGATAAACAAGCGTTTTATTTAAAAGTTGAATGTATAATGTGATCGGTGGTGTTTTGCTAATTTTTTTTACCGGAACGCGTATATGTAATTATATAGACAGAACCGATCCTGGATAGGCGGCCGCTCTATGCGGTCTCATGTCCTAAATTTAAAGACGGGGGGTGATTTTTCATGATAATCCTGGCGGTGAGGTTTTCTTTTAGGTCTCATGTCCCAAATTTGACGAGGGGGGGAGGGGATTTCCCCCAATTCTCAATACGTCAGCCAATTCTCGTTATCAGAAATCATCTTCAGTTCCGGACAACACCACTGAATGTGATATGTAAACTGGTGTGTAAACTGTGGTAGGGCCACGCAACAAACAGTCTTCTCTGTTGCATGAATGGGTATGTTCGTCCGGGTACCACGACCTCACAAAAGACCGGCGTTAAGTGGAAGTGATACACTTCTGCGTTTCGTCTGGTGATCGAGGTAGCCGGGGCGCACTTTATTAAGTGCTGGCAGTGCATATGCAAACCTTCAGTTGTTGCAAACGTCCATGAACCGCAGGCTCACTTGCCACTTTCTCACATAAAAAAAAATGTATAAAATTGCATTCTAAAAGCGCAGTGAAAATCACGGTTGTCATGTTAGTCTAAGATCGTGAATGCACTTGAATTTTGATCGGTATAATTTTGCTTATTCTAGTTCTCCGATACGAACTCGACATTGAGCGTTTTAAATTTCATCCCGGAAGCAGAAGACCACGAGAAAAATCTCATTTGTCGAGCGGACAATCCACGCCTTCACAATGCTGTCATCGAAGATTTTTGGAAACTGAATGTGCATTGTAAGTTTTATTCAATCAATAATAATTTATTTTTATAACTATCTCTATATGTAATTACAACAGGAAAATAGGTTATTCGTCCTATTATCACTACATAGTATAAAACAAAGTCGTCCCGCTGTCTGCCTGTCTCTATGTATGCTTAGATCTTTAAACTACGCAACGGATCTTGATGCGGTTTTATTTACTAGATAGAGTGATTCGAAAGGGAGGTTTATATGTATAATTCATTGCACCCGTGTGAAGCCGGGGCGGGTCGCTGGTTTAGAATAATTCTTAAAATGTTATTGGAATATTTAACTTTCTTTTTTCAATGTTAATTTTTTATATTGCGCTATATATAACGTTTATAGGTCCAGAGCGATAACTCAAAGACCTGCCTTTGTTCCCTGCTTTTCATTGGTTCTAATAACGTTGCACCGAATGGCGAAGAGTGATATAGACTTAATTGGTTCTATACTTCATAGTATTTTGAGCGTACTCATTGGTAACTTACGAATGTATTAATTTCCTTGTAAAATTTAGACGTTTCATAAGGACGCGCAAGCGTCTCTGTGAATAAAGATATTTTATTATTATTATTAAACAAAAATAAACGGAGGAAATTAGCTGTGAGGATTTTACGCTCTTAGCTCAGTTGGCTTCTAGGCGCGTTAATGGAAAAATGAAGTTCGAGTATTTCAGCACCGCTAACAATTCATCTAAAAAAAATGCGCTTATGAGATAACTTTTAGAAATATTAAATGAAACTAGTTTATGGACTTTATCGCGTTTTTATTTTTAAAATATAGTCTTTTTGTTTTAAATAAAAACGCGATAAAATCCGTAAACTAGTTTCATTTAATATGTATAATATTCGCGTAAATTCAACAAGTCAACTTTTAGAAAATTATATAATTTTTGCAGTTATTTAATTAAGATTCTTATGTACTATATTATATTATACTATTGTACTATATTTTTGATTAACATGGAACTTTAAAATTTCGGTGGTATTTTGTCTATGATTCTTGATTGATACGTTCGTAAACACTAGTTGTTGGAGATATCATTTTTACAATCTGCTGTTTGTTTGTTAAGACCCCACGGGTCCCCGGGGGCCACTTTGACCACTGACGTTAAGTGATAACCGCCGCTCATGGACATTTGCCACCCCGTAGGGTTACGTTGCTTACCTTTCAATAAAGTGGACTCCGGATACCTCACTTAACAAATGAAACGCAGAAGTATTGCCTGGCCCTATTGAGATAGGACCACGCGCAGTGGATTTCTGTTTCACGCATTAAGTGTGTGTTCAAATCAATCCACATTCCGCCTTGTGCACAGTGAAGGGCTGATAAAGCCCTTCACTGTGCACAAGCCCTGAGGCTTGAAGAAGCGCGTATTTGGTAAATAGTAATGGAACTCTAGTGCCCTATTTTCACCGTCGATCCCTAACTTTAACCTGACCCCTAAAAAAAGTTAAGTGCCACCAGTTTTTACCACCGCTTAAATGTCGCCAAAAGTTTTAAGCGGTGCAGCGGTGGTTAAAACAAAACTAGCACTTATTTGTTTTAGGTGTCCCTTAGAAATAGTTTCGACAGTGAAAACGGGCATACTTTACAGATTTTTGCTTTGACTTAACTAATTACCAGACTCCATTTCCAATCTCTTATCTTTAGCGGGAGCTCAGAGCCTGTGCGACGTTATGTTAAGCAGTAATCCCGTTAAGTGCCTACTGAAATGCAGAACATTTGTCAAACTGTTGGAGCGGGCAATCAAGGGAGACCGTCTCTCGCGTATTTAATGTTAATTTTCAGGTTCCGATGTAATTGGGCCCCGTTAATTAATGAGGCGACGACGTATCGAATACCGAGCATTATCTCACGAAATGGTCTCCTTTAATTATTCAGCGCTCACGCAATACATTATGTTTTTAACATTAGAATCTTGTTATGTAGCTGTGCTTGATGTGTATCAATTACTATATAATAAATTGGATAAAATTACAAGGTTATTAGGTATATAATCTATACAATAATTTGTAATTTTGCGCCCATATTGGCAACTGTTGACATGTTCTGTATATTAATGATGATGACATTGCATATACATATAATGAAACGTTTCTAAGGTTGTCATGCAATATTCGTTGATTCAATGACAAAATTAAGTAATTTCTTAAAAACGATTGCTAATTGAGTAATTGTGTTTATTCTTCTTTCTGTTGCAAAAGTGTTTCTTGAATCAAAAAAATATTTACAACATTAAACGCAAACCAAATTAAATGTTATTTTCACAAATTTAGCATTCGCATCACGGTGCTAAAAAAATAATTTGTTATAGGTTGTTTTTTTATGAATTATGTATGAGGCGGAATGAACTATGTGAAAATATTTTTAAATTAATTAAAACACAAACTATTCAGACACTTTTCACCAAGAAATTTGAAGTAAGAAAGGTCTGAAAGAAGATAACATTGAAAAATATATGATAACGGTACTTTTAAAGAAAGTTCGTGTTTCGGTTGGAACTCCAGCTCAAAGCTAATTTGTTTTAATATTTCATAGCTTGAGTAGCCTTCACAGAGATTTATAGCGGACCGCATCGCAGCGACTTGGTTCATGGGTAGTTAATCCACGATGATTTTACGGGGATACAGAATTTACACTGGATTTCTAAACACCGTAGAGCCGTAGACATTTCGGATAAAGTTTTAACTATTACATCAATATCATATCTTTTTATGAATTTATCTTTTTAGGGTTCCGTGCATTAAATGGTAAAAAAGGAACCCGTATAAGATCACTCCCTCGTCCGTCTGTCTGTCTGTGTGTCACCGCTGGTGAAAAAAATCGATGGTGACTATTTACCAATCTTCTTATGGCGGTATAATGGGTGGGTGCGGAACCCTAGATTGAGTTCGTCTCACACTTAACCGGTTTTTTTATGTGAAAAGATAGCAAGCAAGCTGGTTTTACTGATGTTAAGTGAAAACCTCCGCCCGTGGACATTTGCAACACCTGTGGGGTTGCCGATGGGTTGCCATCCTTTCATAAAACGGTCAACGGTTACCTCACTTACCAGACGAAACGCATAACTATGGTTCACACCGGTCTTCTGTGAGGTTATAGTACTTCCAACGACGGACTTGTCCAATCGTGAAACACCGAACACTGTCCCAAGTCTCTACCACGGTAAAAATCTCTTAGATATTAACTTTTTAATCAAATTTCCAAAAAGGGACGCTTTCATTATTATTCAGCTTACTTTTATTCGATAAGTTTTGGAGGGTACGCTTTGTCTTAAACCTCACAACTAAAATTATATTGCATTATGGTAGAGAGATTCGTTACAGATAGATGACCATTTTCTTTGTACAAAAAAGACGGCGCTATTAGCGATTTATTGATTGATTTTTGTTTTCTGTATAAAAAAACACTTGTGCGTATAAATGTAGATACGTTCAGCAATTTCCATTTTAACTTATTATTTTAAAGGCCGACAACGCATTTGCAAACCATTTGCAAACCACCACTGGTGTTCAGATTTCGAGATGTACATGAGGGGCAGTGATCACGTGTTCCATAAAAAACGAAATAAAATTCAAATCACAGCATTATCGTATTATTAAACGTTTTTTGAAATAGTTTAAAGAACTTTGCATAATTTATTCTAAGAATTTCTTGCATTTGAATGTCTACGTATTTAAGGAATTAAATAACTAGTGTCATACGCGGCTAATGATGTTATAGCAAATATCCAAACTAATTTGTGTTTGATGTCGAGATTTTGTTGAGGGGTTGTTTATAATCTGTAGAATTTACATAAATTCGCATCTTTAAATTATTTGGTCCGGTTTGTAAATAATTCTCTTAATGTCTCTGATTGTTATATTACAAAATGTTTGGTGTTGAGATACAACAATGTTGAAATTAATATTCAATTACAAGAACGGGCCAAATTGACTGTTTAGGCATGTTGTCTGTAATGGAGTTGCACAATATTTCCTGAATCGTTGAATCTAATAAGTACTTAAGTTAAAATCTCGTTTCTATCCTACGGCTTTCTTTAAGGATATATCTTTTTTTTTATAATATCTCCACCTTTAATTAACAAAAAGTGAAAAATGCAATCGCTTCTACCTGCTACCAAAATTTACAAAGATTTAACTAATAGACAGTTGACAGTCTGCTATCGCAGGCTTTTCACGTAGTTTTCTACCACGCGTGACTTCTTATGAATCCAGTTGTCACTAAAACGACATGAAATGTGGATTATTTTGTTTTGAAACACCATACCAATCCTTCTTTTTATGGACGTTGGGAATGCGTATATATCTGAAGAAAAAACAAATATAACAATAAAACAATGCAGAAGTAACTTGTTTAAAAGTTAAAAATATTAACATACAACTAAGCTTACTTATAAGAAAACCACAACAGAAAAGAAAATAAAAAAAAATATGAATCGAATAGTTTATTTTGTTTAATAAGTATTCTTATTAAACAAAATAAACACTTGAATAATTTCTTTATTACTTAGTGTCTAAGTAATATCGTTGAACTATGAAATAACTTATTTTATCAGTACATCCTGTTTGTTATGTGTAATTGGTTCTGTGGTTTCAATTGGCATTATATTTTTCGCTGTCTGCACTTCATTGTTCCCCAGGCTCTCGTTTTTAACCCCAACACGTAGGGTTCTATCGAATGTAATGGTAAAAGAAAGTATTAAGAGGGATTTCTCTCCAACCATCACGCCACTATTGTTTATAGACCGCCCATGTGCTTTCTACGTTTGCTAATATGAGGTGGATGAGCAATCATTCTAAACCACAATCCGAAGTTTCATAATTTAAGTAAGACTTAAATTATTTTTAGAACTGATGAGTATTTGTTGTCCCTGAAGTTTATTTCAAAATTCTCTACTTTAAAACTGACTTGCTTTATTGATGGTGAAGTAAAACTTGCTAGTTAGCGATGCATGGTGTATTCATTAATAAGTTTTTTTTTTTTTGATTTAGTAAGTTATTTACTCTTGATTTTATTACTTATTCTACGCAATCTAGATGAGGTTAGAATTAGTTTGTTTGGTCCTAGTATTTATAGCATGCATATTTGTGATCCCCCAACCAATGATGTTAAATAATATAGATGACGCGTATCCATACTGGGTGCCGTTTGAAAATCGTTCCGCTTTACGTTATATCATATACATAAGTGAACTAGCGACCCGCCCCGGCTTGGCACGGGTGCAATGTATTATACATATAAACTAGCCCACCGGTTGCAGATGTTTTTTACATATATTAGATTAACATCAAAATACAAGAATACATATAAACCTTTCCCTTGAATCACTCTATCTAGTAAAGAAAACGGCATCAAGATCCGTTGCGTGGTTTTAAAGAACTAAGAATACATAGTACAGACAGACGGCGGGACGATTTTGTTTTATTCTATGTAGTGATGTCACAGATGATACAGGGAGGGATAGCAGTCTATAGAATTACACTAATTGGTGTAATTTGAGTGCCTCAGTTTCGGTACGTTAGTGTCATATCTATTGTATACAATATTATTGCCTCCATTTAAAAATTAGTAATTTTTAATTTTTCTTATTGATGCATGATATTTTGTAATAATATAACATTTTTTTATTAGATTCGAAAATAAACTCGTTAGTAGTTTAACGATGATTGTTCCAGATGTGCCTATAGTGACTTTAAAGATGGGCTCGACACTAAATCCGGGCCATATTAAAGAAGGTGAAGATGTTTATTTTGAATGTCACGTCAAAGCCAACCCCAAGGCGACCAGGCTCTCGTGGTACAAAGGGGTAATAAATATATTCCATCTGTTTTATTTTGTTTAACTAAACTTAGCAAAAATTTCACAGTTATCTGTGCCCTTGCACATTAATTTGTCTCTTTTTAGCGAATGTGATAAGAGAAATGTTAAACAAAACAGATCGAATTTTCGGGTTTCGTCGCGTTTAATTAGACTTTTAAATTCCCGACGTTTTTGTCCCTTTCCAGCGTTCAAGGTCGAAATAGTTCCATTTAACAATGTATAATATTTAAGTAAAAACGGAAAATCACGACCGAAATCCATTATGCTTTTACAATTATTAATCTTGTATCTACGATGATTAATGCTGTTTGCTCATTTTCCCTCACCAAAGGCTGTTAAACGTTGCAAATTATTTAATCAATTATCTTGGCAGGCAAAAGAGATTCAACAGAACGCTAGTACGGGTGTAATTTTTAGCGATCAAAGTCTTGTATTGCAAGGGGTGAATAGGTCATCTTCCGGAGACTACAGTTGCCTTGCACACAACAGCGAAGGCAGTGCCACGAGCAACTCCGTCACACTGCAAGTGAGATGTAAGTTTGTAGAGTCAAATTAAGTTAGAAACACCAAAAAACTTTAATCGCTAAGAAAATAGAGTCGCAGAATGATAAAAGAAACGGAAACTGATAAAAAAATAAAAAGAAATCAAAATCATTTATTCATCGACATAATCAAAATACATTTCATTTATCGATAGTCATTTTTCTTAATCTACCACCGTTTCGTTATTTTTGAGAAAGAACAACTATTGAGTTTCTTCTCAACAGAAACTGCTTTCGAATCGGCCGTACCTTAAGAACCTATGTATACATAGACATAGACATAGAACATTCAAAATAAATGACCTCAAAATAACTTAATTAAAAAATAAAAACCAAACATCGTTTGAAAAAAATACAAATTGAAAAGAAAAAATAAGTGTAAGTACACAAAGATACAAATATAAAGAAACAAAAAAAAAACATAGGAAACCTTTGATGTATTAGTTTTTATGCAAAATTCGAAGTTTCATAGGAACGCGAAGTCTATTTGAATAAAGATATTTTGAATTTGTATTTGAATGAGTCTCAATTACCATTTTCTAATTAAAAAGAACTATAACTATTGCTACGAGCAGGATCAAGCGTGAAATAATTAATATAACTTTCATAGATGCATTTCAACAAGGCACTACAATATTGTTTTTCATTGCAGGTAACAAAATATAAGTGCTACTTCTCATTTGAACGTTCCCTGTTCCTTTTCGTTGTTTTGTGTAATCATTGTATTATTTCAGTGTAAACAGAGCATAAAGTTCATGCACTGTAATTATTATTAATAGTAAAAGTTTAATTTTTGAAGCTTCCTTATATAGAAGTATGGTCGGCAAAACACGTGAATCATGCCGTATGTGTTTTTGGCTATGTTTCTATGTCGATAAACAGTAAGAAATATTAAAACTTTTAGATGCTCCACTATGTAAGATATTGATTGAAGACGACGTGTATGGTGCCCTAAAACGAGAAACCATTGAACTGCTTTGCTCGGTTGATTCTAGCCCGCCCCCTTCAGCGTTCACGTGGATTTTGAATAGCTCTGTAGGCCAGACTGAGTTAAGACCAAGGTAAGTTCAAAACAATGCCTCATTGTACTGTTTGTCGATATTTATAAGGTGGTTGGAAATTTTACATATTATTAAATTAACAGTAGGGTTATGTGAATCACAAAATAGGCTAGGTGAATAACAAACTATGGCTATATATAACGCTATGCTTGACCTGGGGATTATATAAGGTATATATATAGATAATAGGCAATTATATAGTCTTAGGTAATAAACATTTCCGGTCAGTAAATTATTATTCCGTTGCCTTGAAAACATTGAAATGTATACTAAAATTACATGATATGTATGTATGTCTCTTAAGCAAAATTTTATTTTACATAACATTATAAAACTGCCGATTTGAGGTAACAATAACATTAAAAAGTAAAAAACCCCTTTTGAACATCATAGGTGATTGGCTATAATAAGAATGTATAATAATCTGATGAGCCGACAGTAAGTTTATCCATATATAACTAAAAAACCAGAGAACATAAACGTATTTTAGCGAGAAGTTATTTTACTCGCAAAACCTACACTAGAACGATTAAGTGTCCGTGAAGCGAAATAAATGATAGCCAAACCTTACTTTATTCTTCTCATGGGCACAATTTAACTCTAAAAATTTTTAACTAAAACGTAAAATAGACCGCACACCCTTGCATTTAACTCGTGAATCATTTAAAACATAATATAAATTCACCTGCGAGTTTTTTGCCGTCACTAAAATTTAAACGTATAATTGATTGTGATACGCTTGAATACGATCTGTTTTAAAATTTATTAAAATGAAAAGTAGATTCAATACTGTGTTAACAATCAGTAAAGCCATTTAACAAATTAAACTACTACGTGACTTGATTACAATCTTTCGGAATCGATAAATTTGTAATCACTGAAAAATATGACATTTTGGAGGCGAAACAGTTTACTAGATAGCAAAGAGCAAAATGACTTTGTGAATAGACACGATATAATGTTATCTAAAAATGAATAAATATATGCATATCTTAAAATCATTTTGCCTTTTCCAGTCAGTACACGAACTATAATTACACGTCTACGTTGCGATACACACCGATGTCAAACATGGACTACGGCACTATATTTTGTTTCGCAATAAACGCAGCTGGTAGACAAGAAGTGCCATGTGTGTATAAGATTGTCGCCGCAGGTAAGCTTTTAGTTAGAGCGGTCAGATATAATCAGTGATAACAACGATATTTTTCTGGCCATACAGTAGAATTAATGTTTCAAATCAATGAAGCCGCTGTTACCTTCTTTAAATACCTTTAGTCGGCTTGGCGATAAATGTCTTCTTATAATCATTCATCATCATCATCATATCAGCCTGTTTGAGTCCACTGCTGAACATAGGCCTCCAGCAAGATCCTGATCAACTTATATCCGTCGACTTCTCGCACACTTGCGAATTGAATCAGAAGAAACTTTTTTGCAATTTAAAAGATTTCTCCAAATTATACTTGAGTCACCCGTTTGTTCAAATGTCTTAAATGAAACTAATTTTACGGATTTATCGCGTTTAAACGCGATAAATCCGTAAAATTAGTTTCATTTATAATGTGTAATCGCGTAAATACAACAAATGTCTTAACATAAATAAAGACTGAGTTTTTTCTCCATTCGAGAATATTGACATGAGGCCGGTGTTATCGTATATTTAAGCGCTAGCTGAAGTCACGGGGAGTTAAAATAAAAATACCAAAACAAAAAAGTCATTACACTTTGCCTTTCCTCGTAGCATACGTGTAAATATTGTGAGAAAAGAATAATAAGTTTCGAATAATTATGCCCGTTTTTAATCATGAAATTACAGTAAAAATGTAACAAATGTGTGCAGCAGCGTTCGCAGCGTGGAAAGGAAATATCCTTGAATTTTATAAAAAACTTAAGAGACCATTATCTTTAATAGACAGTTATGATTTTTAATCAATGGTTATCCTTTCGTGTTTTACTAAAAACATTGACGTATCGAGAAGCCAGTGTGGATCTTTCCATTTTTATGCGCTGGGTGATTATATTGTTTGGGAAAAATTACCGAGATATTAAAAAATAAACCACCTTTTTAGACCGGCCGTCGCCTCTTCAGAATTGTTCGATAGTTAATCAAAGCACAAACAGCCTCGCGGTTGAATGCATCGAGGGCTTTGACGGGGGTCTTCCTCAAATTTTCTACATGGAGGTATTAGAATTGCCTTCGTTGGTGGTAAGTATTGAAACATAATAAGTAGTAAATAATGTTTGAACGTTTAGAGAAAAAGAAATTCACAATTTTGCTTATAGCTCTAGTTTTTTATTTAGTTTTTTAGTTCCGACGTCATCCCTGGAAGAAAGCGTTGCTTCATTTTTTTACCAATTACTAGGATCGGCTTTGTGTCGTTTGAAGCAATATTTTCTGAACATAATTGGACCTGTCGCTTCGGTCTTCATATCTTCGTATTCAATATTACGAAATCTATTAACTTTTCTGACGTTCTCGGAAATTACCCATTTGGCTGTTTAAATATAATGTCAATACTGAAGTGGCTCGCTCTCATAATTAATCGCTTTTCAGAATACCTTATAAGTTACCTTATAACTTCGTACTCTTTTTGAGAAATTACTATCAATTTGCTTTATTCAAGTATCCAAAAACATAGTTCAAAATATTTTAGCAAAGCTTTCTTTACAAGGGTATCTCAGCGTTTTCATTTGGTCCATACCTTTTGTCAACATTGTGCCAAATTATTTGTCTAGGTTCGAGCTAACATATCGTCTAACTTCACGCCCAGTTTCGAATTGCTCGGAATCGACAGTAGAGTTAGCTACATGGTTAACTTGTATTCTAGTAATGCTAAAGGAAGAAGCGAAATGGTCACTTTATACACGATTGCTCTTAGACCTCCGGACAAGTTTACAGGTAAGTGTGACGTTCTGATGAGAGACCTATATCTGATTTAGTCTATAATGTGACAACTTTATCATGTTGGTTGTTTATTGACTTCTTGGTCTTTTATGTTATATTTTCATTTAATGTGTTGGTTGTTATAAAAAATCAGGGGATGTTTGCTAGTGAGTCTGCTGATAGCTCTATCGTGGTAGAATTTGGCACAAAACGTGCTAATACTTTTTTTTAATGACCCATTTTTTAAAATCTCAACGTCATCCTCACGACTATTATGGATGCCTATGAGTGAGGGTAATCACTTTATATAATTTGGCAATGATCCGTTTAGCTTAGAGGCTAAAGCGTCTGGCCGCGAATACCGAAGACGTGGGTTCTATTCCCTCAGCGGCGACAATCTTTTCGTACTTTTTCTACAAATTTTAACACTTTAAGTCAGTTAAACCACCCACCTAAAGCCCAGATTCTGCTCTAAATACAGACTTAAACCATATGAGCTGGAATAAATCATCTTTCCTACCAGTGTCAGTTTTATTTTGAAAGCGAAAAAGGGAAGGGAAGTTTTATCAAAAACCAATTAACGATACCAGCTCTCACACTTTTAAATCCTACGTAAATAACTAGTTATACTAGTTGTACTTTATATTGTGATTGATCCAAAAAACGGATATTTACCCACAAATTGATTTGATGACTTCGTGGGGCAGTGGCCAAGGTATTGGTCGTTCGTGGGTTCGATTCCCACACGGGACAACCGTGTGTTTGTTTCGCATCTGGGTGTTTGTCTACGTGAAATTTATTTTTGTAAAACGTCCTTACAACACAGGATAAAGTTATCCTATAGTAAGGGTACTGTTTTTAAAAAGAAAAAAATAATATAAATGCATAAAAATAAATATGGCAGGTTCAGCACATCGGTGGAAATCGCCGTTGCAAATAAACTGCATAATTATTACGTGCACTGTTTCGATGTCATACTCCGAAAACCGAATTGGGCCACAGCGTTCTACCACACACCTTAACCACATGCCTTATTAATTGTATGGAATTTACAATGATTAGAACTTCATTATTTTAGGAACAAGCAACAGTATTTCTCTATCGCCGATGCTACTCTCACTCCTCACGACGGCCGCCTTTCTGAGTGCAGCGGTTTGTGGCGTCATTGCGGCCTTGTATAGACGCCACGTTGCGAGACACCACAAGCACCCGCCTTCAACGTCAGTATTATAATGTTTTGAATATCGTATAACTTTGTTTTGAATCGTCGTTTCTTAACGTTGTATCGCGTTAATATTTAAAAACATTCTTGCTGGTCATTTAGCATCGTATGTTAAAAAATTACAAGGACTGTTTCCCACTTTTCAACCGAGTTCAATTGGTGCTGGAACTCCTGGAAATCAATTATAAAATGAACACAGAGCGAGGTATTTGAAGACGGTTTTGTTTTTCGTTAGTAAATAAATGACTTGTTATGGACGTAGTTACGAGTATTTTTAGTTACATAAAACACCAAAAGTTTATTTATATTATTTGTACAATGCTTTGATATCAGACGTAAATTGAAAGTTTCTGTCACCAGCAATGCTTTATATTCGGAAGATAGCGTTGACTCGTTCCCTAGGAGGGATAAAATTGAAGACGTCACTTATTCCGCCTCGCCTAAAGTCGACTACAGCAGTCAGTATGAGCTTAAGATGGACACCGGTGAATTAGAAGAAACGGATCCCGATATCATACCATTTCATTATGGTAAATATAATTAATATGTATAAATATTTAAGGACAATTTTTTACGCAACGTTCTCTAGTCCCAAACTAAGCAACGCTTGTACTATGGGTAGTAGATACCTAAACACACTTAAACATACTTTTATTTTGTAAATACATAAATACATATTATACATATACAGCGTGTCTTTACAATCGCGACAATAAATGAATACACATATAGGGGATAACTTTTTAGAATTGTATTAAACATTTACATTCTTTAAACATCAATATTTACAGAGTTATTAAATTTTCCGAAACAAAGAATTTTAGAACAGCCTTACGTATAAAACTGTAACGTAAAGTTCATTTGTGAAGGTCACAAAGCATATGAATGGGTTGAATGAATTTAAAAGAGACAAAACATACTGTTAGAAGGAGAGGCTTGTAATGCAACACTGTGGCACGAGTTGTATAGGATGTTACAAATTTTGTTTCTTTTTTAATTAATTAATTTGTTTTTAATTATGGATTTTGTTTAACGTTAATATTTTTTATGATTATTGGCAAGTAGCGTTAGACGTGTGTTCATTCATTGTCGCGATGGTAATGACACGCTGTATAAACACCATCAGACATTGGATGACACTATGCTTATCACAAAATATTTTCCAGTGGTGGGGATCGAACCCACACCTTTTGACGCAAGAGCCGGGTTCACTGCCCACAACGCCAATTGTACGTTGTTTACTTATGCCTATGCCCATTTAGAACATTATTTCTCATCTGTCTCTCATGTCAAATGGCGTAACTTCGATCCTATTACTTGAATAATTGTGTGATGAATAAAATATTTACAAAATGTATTTGTTTACATAAAAACAGTATTTTTAAGAATGTGTATTAGTTACCTATTGCCCATAGCAAAGGCTTTGCTTAGTTTGGGATTAGATAACGGTGTGTAAAAAAGAATCTTGAAACATGTACTAATTAAATAAACAATTTATTAATTAGTAAATTATTTTAGTACATATCGGTAGATGTTAATTTTATGCAATAATTATTCATGGCCGATTAACCAGTATCAAAAATTTATACTGGTTAGTCAGCCAAAGTTTAAATTAGGCTTTTTGATTACTTTAACTGTTGGCAAGTCGGGAGGACAACCGAAAAATGGAACACACGTTAAGTTTTTAAGTATGTCTTAGTTTTCTGCTTGGGTAAGTTAACAAATACTTTTAAACTCACGTCTTTATTTAAATTACGTTATTATTTTAGAGAAAAAGCCAATGGACGAATACAGTAAGCCGCCGTTTCAAGAAAATGATCCAATGAGGATATACAAGGAGCATTCATTATCTAGTACTGTAAGTATGGGTTTTAAAACAGCCTCTTTCAACAATTCTTCAAGGCAAGAGTGAATAGGTTTTTACTGAGCTAGCGCGCTTACCATCAGGTAGGATGGCAGTCAAGAGCTGGCCAGTTCTGAATTAAAAAAAATTAGCCGAGTTACCAACCAACGACTATTTGGATACTAGTTCTGTATCTGGGTGCCGTGTTCAATTTTTGTATGTAAAACGTTATATACATTTTCATTACAGGTTACAATTAAGCTTTAGTATCTATTATTATTAATTACTATTATAGTGAAACATTTATAGTTGTATATATTAATGATTGATGCGTGCTTAGATTTTCACTTGTCTCAATTTTTGTGTTATAATCGCGTAATTTAACACAAAACTACTTCATTTTATAGTAGTAATGAATTGAAATAAAAACAAACAAACAAAAAAAAAAACACTCGAAAAGAAAATAAAATACTATCATAAAACATAAAAGAAAAACATCAGAAGAATTTTGTTAAAATACTGTAGTAGGGCCACGCAACTCTTAGCTGTTGCAAGAATGGGCAGGTCCCTACGGGTAAGTACCAAAACCTCACAGAAGAGCGGCGTGAAGTGGTGGAGAATAATACTTTTTCGTTTCGTCTGGTTAGTGGTTAAGAAGGCTACCACCGTATATGCAACCCCACTGGTGTTGCATATACGGTGGTAGGGCCACGCAGCAGCCTCGGCTGTTGCACGAATGCAGGCCCGTCCGGATAAGTACCACGACCTCACAGAAGACCAGCGTAAAGTGGAAGTATGACAAATACTTTCGCGTTTCGTTTGGTGAGTGAGGTAGCAATTTTCAAAACGTTGTCAACGCATCTGTAACCCTCGGGTGTGGCAGATGCCCATGGGCGGCGGTATTCACTTAACATCAGGTGAACCGCCTGCGCGTTTGACAACTTTTCACATAAAAAAAAAAGATTTGCGTGACAAAGTTGGGTGTATAAACGAAGCCACTACCACCTTGACAGCCATGTTGTGTCGACCACATCAAGGAAAGATATGGCGCCAGGACAAGGCAGGAGACTAATGGAGAAAAAATACACTTCATTTTGTACCTATCAAACATTCAATATAAAAATGGAATTAAAAAAAAATGTAATTGTTTTAAATATTATTCTATTCTACTCTCCAGGCCTTAACGGGTCTATGAATCTGTTGAAATAAAATGTACATTTAATTTCATCGTTAAAGTATTTCAGCTCAGGTCCGTAAAAAATCAACTCACTAATTAATTAGACTACTCCTCGCGTTGACCTAAAAGGTTATTTTTGCTAAATATTCCTAAAATTAAAAACGCAATTTTGAGAAAAAACTAAAAATGAAGCAATTTCTCTTTTTATCTCATACATAACAATGGAGCTTAAAAAATGAAATAAACAATGCTTTTGATTGTTTTAAGCCATTACGTGGATTGAAAAATACTAATAAATTCAAGCTTTAATGTAATAATTTTATGAACTATATATTGTGATATTTTTTTGTGTGCGAAGGTGGCAAGAAAGCTGGCGATTCACTGATGGTAAGTGATAACCACCACCCATGGGCATTTGCAACACCCGTAGGGTTGCAGATTCGTTGCCACTTTATAATAAAGTGGGCCCGCTACCTCACTCAGAAGTATACACTCCTACTTCACGTCAGTCTTCTGTGAAGTCATGGTTCTTTCCCGGAACCTGCCCATTCGTGAAACAACCAAGTGTTGCGTGGACCTACCACAGTAAAAATCTACCACACTAAAATTAGCACAATCTAACATATTGAGCAAATATACAATAAGATAAATATAAAAATGTGTAATAAATTTTGCTATGAGCAAATTTCCAAATATGGCAGGTTTAATAACAAGAGAGAAATTTATCAAACACATGAATAATTATTAGTTGATATACCTTACTCATAAATGTCCTTATCACCAATAGTAACCGTAGTTTTTTTATGAAGAAAGCGAAATTTATATGAACGATATGTAGTTTTTTTTATCTTTAGTGTTGTTAAAGTCATTTTTGTTGCCTGGCCTTAATGAGCACTTCTTGGTAATGAGCAACGTGTCACGTTCTCTGAGACGTGCTTTTCAATAGACTGGTGGACACGGAGTGCATAAACTAAGCTTACAAACTCCTGTGCCAAGGATATCATTATATTATGTTTAAGTGCAATTGTAAAAAACAACTTGTAAGGATCAATACAATAATTTAGATACATTTTCTTTGTAATGTTTAGTTATTAATTCAAAAACATTATTATTTATTTTTAAAATTAATTTTTCCCTTTTTAAATCAATGTGATTATCTATTACTATTGTCGAATTATAGACGCACTAGTTACCACCAACTTTTGAACTGTCAAGTCCATTGTTTAGTATTATAAAGGGTGATTGTGTAAAATAATTGCTTCACAATAATTATTAGTATATTACTGTACTTATCGTGAGAAAAATCTAATCAAGGTAGTGAGCAAACGCGTATCAACTCGGCTAAAATTGTAACGTGAGGGCATTAATGTGCTTTATCTTGAGTATTAAGTCTTGAAAAAGAAGTAACGTGAAGTGAATTAAAGGCGACAAACGTCCCGCTGCTGGGCGCAGACCTCCGTACGGAGGGTTGTAAGGCCATTGTCCACTACGCGACCCCACAGCGAATTGACAGACTTCGCATATTTTCAGAAAAAAAACATGCAGGATTCCTCACGGAGTTTAAAATCACCGCAGAGGACGTGATAAGTCTGCACTAAAAATTGCCATTCAAAACTTCGTTTGTGACGGTACCGGGAATTGAAACTAAAGCGTCCATTTTTATGTATCTAATATTTGCAAGATTAAATCTACCTACAATTACATATTTAAAAATATTAAATTATACTTCAATTGTTTTAAATCTACATCTTTATATATATGTATTTATAAGATATATATTTTATATATATGTTTTTGTTATGGTGAGCTATATTGTTTGTGTAATTTCTTATTGGTATATAGCGTTCTGGATTTAACGTTAATTTTATTCACGAAACCATATTGTAATCTCATTTATGTCTTACAACTACCAATATTCCTGCTTACACCCCGGATTAACTGCTAGAGAATGCCAATAGGCATTAATTCCGACCTTTGTAACCAAATTAACCAATAAACAAATAAATAAAGCGATCGGCCGGAACTGGTAATATTTTAGCAAGAAATTTTTAATACGTCCGATCTTCGATAAACAGTAACAATTGATATTGCTAATCGAAGCATACAATAAAGTGCTTACTAATGGTAAACCCAAACTGTTGGCAGCACGTTGATTTGCAGAATGTAGCGTTCGTGAACAGGGGTGTCAACGCTCGTAGTGCTGACATCGCGGCGTCACGTCTACGGCCGGAGGTGGTGACTGCTTCAAGGAGGGTGAAAGAGAGCTGCATTTAAACGCACCGCGTCGACGCTATCATTGTAAAAACGTTCCAGCTGGACGTAACAGATCGGGGGCTATCGCTGTAATAAGGTTTCGATTCCAGCCGAACGAATTTATAAGACTGAGAACAGATTTACTTGAAAAACGCACGTTAATGGCCGCTCATGATGCTGATGCGCCGTTCCTTTGGATTTGTTTTAGGAGAATCTGCGGAGGATTTAGTATTTAAGTATGTTAAATGTTGATACGTGCGCCATTTAAGTTGTTTTCTGACTGACGAATGAGAAAGAAGAATTGTTACATCGATCAATAAATTATGTTCTTCTCTAGTGTATTGTCATGATATTAATAATTATTACATGAATTCAAAAGTACAGATCCTAGTTGTCTTGTTTTCCTTTTCCCATGTTTTCAGTTCTGTAAAGTTTAGACCTTTAGCATTTTGTTGTACTTAACATCGAAGATAATGAATTTATTTGAGATATTGTTACGATCTTAAACTTCGTGTACACCCTAATAGTGAGCTCAGTAATGGCTTCCAACATCACTTCGGTCAAAACCTAAAATTTTAGTCATAAAAATATTTGTGATTGAGGTGAAAGCATCAAAAAATAAATACTAGGATAATTTATAATTGATAACAGCAAAGAGTTTTGCAGAAATATTGATAACATTAAACAAAATTACTTATCTGGGGCCTATTAGGTAAAATATTACATAGTGCTGTGCTCCTAACAAGATATTAAACTTGTTAAAGCCAACATTTCAAGAAGCAAATCCTGTGTGTGAATCCTGTAATTTGCTTTAAGTATGCTGTGGCACAGCATATCTGGTACAAAGTACAAACTTACAACGATATCACATTGGCGCTATTGGAAATACGTGGGACGCTGCCAAATCAATTACACTCTGCAAATTGGCATGTCTCCTCAAATATAATCAAGTGGTTATTTCATTGTATCAAAATTTCTACATGAAAAGCCTGCGTATGTTAAGTCCGTCCACAGTATTTGCAGTTTAGTTTACCCAGTTTTTAAACATAATCTGCTTCTAGTGATTTTATTGAAATGAGCCTGTATCAATTTATCGTTTCTGCAGAACCCAATGTTTTGTTTTGTACCCCTAAAATAAGTTCATTTAAACTATTATGGCGCACAATAATCTTTGCACATTTTACAAAAATTTTAATGTTTTATATATTGAAATTTGTAGAAAAAGTACGAAAAGTTCTTCGAAGCAGTGGGAATCGAACCCACGTCTTTCGCGATTCACGCCCAGACGCTTTAACTACAAAGCTTACCGGCCGATTGCTACACGACGCTACCTACAAGATAAAAGATATGGATTTTCATCAGATTTCTTATGTATATTAGATTGCTTATGTAGATTAATTTCTTTATGTAGATAACATTTTTATCGAATGCATGCGATGCGTGGCGCATCCATTGTCATATCCTTTTACACGATACAAACGATTTAGATTTTAGAATATCGTTTCACAACGATAATTAGAACAAGAGATATAGCCTTTTTGACGCGAATTTCGAAGACGTGGGTGCCATTCCCGCAGCGGCGAAAATCTTTTCGTACTATTTTCTACTAACACGAAACAAAACACTGGATCATGGTCGTGCTTTGAATTATGAAAGACTTTCTTTCTAGTTTTATACGGTTATATGGTCCACTTCAGCATAGCAATATTATGTAAACACTATTAAACAATTTAACTTAACAACGTATTTGTATGAGATATTTACAACCATTCTCTAACTTATAGTGATAATTTTAACACTCTTCACAATCAAACGTTTTATTTGTTATCTGTTTTCGGTGCGGTTTGATCAATTCAAAGCAAGCCGAGACGAGTATCTTTTACGAAATCTTCCTTCATTTTTGATGCACGCTTCTTTCTTATTGACAGATTTAAATTACGCGGTGATTCATATTTTAGAACGTTTTCAATTAATCATAATAATTCAACAATCATGAATGATACATTGTACCACAAAATTAACGTAATCTCATTTGAATTTCATATTTGTAAGTTTCTTTAACAGTACACAAGGAATAAAATTATGTAAATAGATATATATGTTACTATAATTTATACACGCGACATGAATTGAATTATTGTCTTTTAAAACTAAGATAATTCTCAAATAATAATGTATTGTAAATTTAATATACAAATAAAGTTGTAATTTAGTGTAAAGTGTATAATAGTAATTTTAAGTTGAGCAACCATTGAGTAAAATATTTTTTTTGAAATTCATATAAAAACGGTATTAGGCTCTGACAAAAAGACGGCCTTGTATGTAGCAAAAGAAATACATTACAAACAACCTAGTATATAATTGTATTGTTGAACAAATAATGACGCAAAAGTTTTCTATTTTACTAAATGATTGCTTCTAGAAAGGGCGCACATCCAAGAGGTTGACTTATTGCTACAAAAAAATATTTTTATCGCTTCGTTTGTTTGATTCGGACTGATGCTTAGTGATATTGGAACGATGATTGTGAACCGTTTTTGATTAATTAATTAAAAATTGAATTTTACTCGTCTAATTATTCTGTTTGAAGGAAGCCTCTTCTTTCCACCGTTGCTTACTTGCCTTTATGTAAGTCCGGAATAAAAGAAGGAAGCAAACGAGAAGGCGGCCCACTTGATGGTGAAAGTTTACTACCGCCCAAGGACACTCACAACCCAAGAGGAGTCACAAATGAATAAACTTTTCTTCGGTGGTAGGGCCACGCTGTTGCACGAATGGGCAGGCCCGTTGATATAAGTACCACGACCTCACAGAAGACCAGCGTAAAGTGGAAGTATGACAAATAATTTCACGTTTGGCAAATTTTCACATAAAAAAAATAACATAAAAGTTTCTTAAGTTTTCCAAGTGAATGCAAACATTTTTGACGTCATAAATATTTCGGTAAAAGAAAATATAACATAGAATAAGTTGAGATGATACCCTCTGTATAGAGGAGGCCTTTGCCCAGCAGTGGGACATGTATAGGCTGTTACTTTAAGTTGAGATTTGACGCTCACATAATTACCATTTGCGCCACGGAGTCATCAAAGTCTTATTTACTGAGGTATGTAGTTAACTGTATAAAAGTCAACATTTACTACGTTGATTGTGACGTTGAAAGTACTAAATACTTACTTTCATGATCCAAGCAGCAGCATCTCGGATTTGAACCAAAGAGTAGACTCATCCGGGGAAGTATTAAAACTCACAGATAAATAATGAAAAGTAGAAGTATTTGCAATTGTACATTTTATATGCTGAGTGAGCTAAGTAGGAACCGGAATTATAAAGATTGGCAACGAGTCCAGACCACCACAGGCATTACAGACATCTTTTTTTTTTTTTTTTTTTTTTTTTTTTTTTTTTTTTTTTTTTTTTTTTTTAACGTGGGAAAAATCCTTTATGGATCCCCCGCCACCTTGTGGGTAGACAGCGAGGGTATGTGGGAGTCCCCAGGATACGGGGGTACCCACTAAAAAACCCACGTTGCACCTGCGCTGTCGCTTTTGCCGGGGACACGGGAACACGAAAACGCAATCTTCCGCGAACCCCGGCGCGACTGTGGCCTTCTAAGGCCTCCTCTCTCCGGGTCTTTAGACACCCGGTCCAGCCAAATGGTGCCGTATCGGTGCAAGGGACACGGCACCCCTCTCGATCCCCCTACGGGCAGCAGTTAATCCCACATCTGCCGCCCCAGGGCTCCCTATCAGGGGGGAAGGTTGCGCGCGTAGGCCAGCCTCCTGCGCCCTGGTCTCCGGCGGCGGATATCCAGGGTGGCAGTTGCCTCCCTTTCTCGCTCCGCGGCCTCCTTCCGGGTGACTATGTCCTCACAAAAAGCAAGGACCGCACCCCACGCCCTCTCGCTGTCCACCATAGCACGAACCACGGCAGGCAGCGAGAGGTCGTGCCCCACGATAGCGCACAGCTCTCGGCGCTGCTCCATCCAGGCTGGGCACTCTTCCAGCGCGTGTTGGGCCGTGTCCTCGGCACATACGTCACAGTGGTGGCATTCCGCTGTGGGCTCCCTCTTCGCCACGCGAAACAGGTACCTCCCGAAACAACCATGTCCCGAGAGGACCTGCGTCGCGCGGTAGGTGAGGGCGCCGTATTGCCTGTCCAGCCACCTACTGAGGACAGGACGTATGGCCTCCACGGTTCTTAGGCCGGCGCTGGGGTGCTCCAGCCTTTGCTCCCACTCAGCAATGGCGTTTGAGCGCAAGATATTCCTACGCGTCCCCAACTCGTCTGTGGCTGGCGTGTGGCCTTGGGCTTTTAGCTCCTCGCGCCAGAAGTGCAGTGACGCGAGGATTTCAGCTTCCAGGTCCCAAGGCAAAGTACCAGCCAACAGACACGCCGCCTCACCGGATATGGTCCGGTAGCCCCGAATGGCTCGTATGGCCAACACCCTTTGCGGTTTGCACAAAAGTGCTTTGCTCCGGCGGCTCAGGGTGCCAACCCACACGGGAGCCCCATACAGGGCCATTGACCTCAGGACTCCGGTGTATAGGCGACGGCACATATCGTTGGGACCGCCAACGTTTGGGAGCAGTCTGCCGAGAGCTGCTGCTGCTGCTTTCACCACTTTGGGAGATTGCCGCTCAAAGTGGGCACAGAAGTCCCATCGGCGATCTAGGACTAGGCCGAGATACCTCATGGTAGGTTGTACGTCGACACGGACGCCACACACAATAATATGGGCGTCCGCAGGTGGTGCGTTCCGAGGCCCATAGAAACATAGGGCCTCGGATTTACTTAACGCCACCTCTAGCCCTAGTCGCCGAATACGCCTCACCACCTGAGCCACTCCCGCAGTGGCGAGAATAGCAGCCCGGCGAAAGTTTGTGCCGCGGGCGGTCACAAGGGTGTCGTCAGCATAACATGTCACCTCGACACCCCTGAGGTAGGCACCACGCAGCACCCAATCATAACCTAAATTCCACAGGAGCGGCCCTAACACCGACCCCTGTGGAACTCCA